AGGGTGAGCATGGGGGTGCTCGGGGCATGTGCTCCACAGCACCCCCACTCGTCCTCCTGGCCCCCAGGGACCCTGGTGCCACTAATGTCCTTCCATAAGCTACCTTTCTGATTGAACTGACCCGAGAGGGTTCTGCTGTTTGCAACCAAAACCTGTACAGTGCAGACTGGTGGAGAAAGATTTAGGAGTTAGGGATGGGTCCTGGGATGGACGGGACATGGGCGACCATGAGGGAGCTGTCCAGCGGGCCACTCAGGTCCACAGATGTTCTGCACGGCATCAAATTGAAACGTACAGGTGTTTATTAGAAACAGGATAGAAGGGGACTGGGCATGACCCAGCAGATGGCCCCAACTCTCAGAAGCTCTGTTGTGCTCAGGCCGGCTATACGGACAGGGGAGCCCAGAGCAGAGCGAGGAGCAGCAGTGGTGGGGAGGGGCCTGGCCTGTGAATGCCACTGCGGGCCATGAGCTTCTGGATCCAGTTGAAGTGTGTGCTGACGTTGGTGTAGACACCGGGCCTGTTGGGTCTCCCACAGCCCACTCCCCAGCTCACGATTCCAACCTGAATCCACATGCCGTTCTCCTCACAGGCCAAGGGTCCACCTGAGTCACCCTAGGGAGCAGCATAGGTAAGCCCAGACCAGGACAGAGCGGGAGGGGTTAGCAGAGGGGCAGTGGGGCTAGGCAGACCAGGTGAAAATCCCACTCCTCCCCTGGAAGCAGCCAAGCCTCAGTTGCTGCATCTGTAAAGGGGCAATTGTCTCCAGCTCCCAGGGGCACCACGAGGACCAAACGAGGTACAGGGGCACAGGCTGCTCTCGGGCCTGGGGCCGGGTGGTGGGATGCTGAGCCCAGAAGCCCCTGACTGGGGTGGGAAGGACACTCACGAAGCAGGCATCCTTGCCGCCTTCGGGATCACCAGCACAGACCATATCTCCCCAGATGTCAAGGCGGAAAGCAGGCTGCTCGTAGAGGTAGTTGCACATGGTGGTGTTTATGATGTCGACCTGCACCTCCTGGAGGATGTAGGGAGCTGGCAGCACTGCCGAGGAGTTGAGGGACAGAGAAAGATGGCCTCCTGAGCCCCTCCTCTGCCATCTGGTTGGGAGGAATGGCATAGGCTCCGGGGGGCGGGGGTGTCCCTGGGGCACCCACAGGGCCGGGGCCATGGCTCTTGATGAGTCCCCAGCTTCAGCCCACAGCCAGCACATCATGGGTGATGAGCAATCTCACAGAAAGACCCAGTGGATGGACTGGCTCTTATAGCTCCTCCCTGGGAGCTGGGTTCCCCACTGTAGCATGGGGATGACAGCCCCCATCCAAGCCAGTGGGCAGGGACCTTAGCATGCCCAGGGGGAGGGACTGAGATGGTTTAGGATTAATACAGTCCAGCTGTGACACCCAGGCGCCTGAGCAGGGGGCACCCCGGGGCCTGCACCAAGAGCTTCATGCTGCTCCCTTACGGCTCCTGCTGACCCCGGGATGCAGCGCCGTCATGACCAGCTTTCAGGGAAGGAGAGACCCGGGGAGGATGGCCCTCCCTCAGCCCCAGCAAAGCACCAGGGAAGTGCCGGTACCGACGTGAGACCAGGTCTGTCAGATTCCTAAGTCTGGGCCTTAATCACCACGTCATCCTGCAGAGGATGGGGACAATGACACAGAAAGCTGACATGGAGACGGAGCCTACTGTCTGCCGGGCACTCTGCCAAGTCCTCTTGTAGGAATGCTTTTAACCCTCGGAACCACCCCTTGAGGTGGGAGCTCTTATTGCCCCACTTTACAGATGGGGAGGCTGAGGTGCAGTTAGCTGACGTGCCTTGCCTGAGGCCTCCCAGTTAGCACATGGCAGATCTAAGGTTACTCCAGGCTGGGGGGCTCCAGAAGGTGCCTCCTACCTATGAGAAGGAGGATGCAGCCTGGGGTTGCATGTGCCCACCTGCCAACCTTGGGTCAGGGAGGGAGGGGGCAGAGCCTGCTTGGCTGGGCCCACTGGCTCACACCCACTCAGGCCTTTGGGCACAGGGGTCTGCGGCAGGGGCACCTCATCCAGCTCCTTCTAGGGGAAGGGAAAGGACCCCAAGTCTAGAGGGCGCAGGCCTAGTGTTGACTGCTCTGTCCCCTCTGCCAATTCTGCTGTGTGACCCTTAGGGACACATCACCCTCTCTGGGCCAGTGAGCCCTGGCTTCTCCACTGAATTCTTCTGGGGCCGTGGGCGAGTCCCATTCCTCTCAGTTTCCTCATCTATTAAGTAGGTATAAAGACATCCCAGCCTCACTCGTAGGTAAGCTCCAGAAGGAAGAGCAAGAGAAACCTTGCCTTGCTCACTCCTGCATCCCTAGAGCCTAGAGCAGCGCCGGGCACACAGCATGCTGGCCGGGAGCTTTCTCTGTCGTTACTACTGCTATTGAGGGAGAGGCAGGAAGAGCCAGGCCAGGGAGCAGGGGGAGAGGCATCCAGGCCCAGGGATCACATCCAACTGTGGGGCTAGAGCCCCCAGGGCACCTCTCGGGAGGCTGTGCCCAGCGTTTCAGGGTCTCAAGGTGAGAGATGAGCAGGTGGCAGCTCATACCTGCCAAGGACCCGCAGATTTAATGGGGAGCCAAGGGTGGAGGATGGCTTGAAATTGCGAGGACAGAGAAGCAGGCTCAGCACCCCAGAAGAGAGGCCACCACAGGCACATGCAGAAGGGATGGAGGAGCCAGGGTAGGGAGGCAGGATGGCCGGGGGTGGGGAGCATCCAGGGCGAGGTGGAAGGAATGCAGGGCCAAGTCAACCCCTGAGGCCTTTCTGACAGGCCCCCATGACCCCCAACACCCCTGCAGGCTGGCGGGTGCAGGCCGAGCCAAGCTGGCCCCCCTCCCCACCCTGGCTCCCGGCTCACAGTCTCTGGAAGGGAGAGGAACTCGGTGGGGTACAGAGGTGCTGCCCTCTCAAGGGGAGCAGAAGGAAGCAGGAGGGGAGAGAATGCTGAGCAGGCCAAACGCGGGCCCAGCTGTACAGGGATCAAGGTGGGGGCTGCTGTGGCTGGTGCGGCCGAATGGGGACAAGGACAATGCCACCCTCCCCTGCCCCAGCCCCGTCTGTCCCCAGCCTCACTGTGTTCTTCTGTGATGTCCCCCCAGCCAGTCACCCAGCAGTCAGTCCGGTTCTGGAACTCGAAGGAGGAGGCCTGGACACAGATGGGCTGGATGTACTTATTGTAGGTGACAGAGGAGGACAGCTTCAACAGGGCGATGTCATAGGCTGAGGTCCCCAGATATAAAGGACTCAAAACGATCTCCTGCACTTGGTAACGGTTCTGGTAGGCCCGCAGGTTCCAGAGAGATGGCGCGGCAGACAGCTCGCCAAACTGGACTGTCCACTCATAGGGATCGTTGTTCCTGGCAGGCGAGGAGAGAGGGGCCACCTGAGCATCCCGGGCCGGCTCCATGAGGTGAGACTGCCGGGGCTGCTGCTGGGGCTCATGCGGGATGCCGTCAACAGTTCTTCTTACAGGCCAAAGCGTCCAGGGGAGAAAGGGTGAGAGCCCACAGAGGCCACCACCAAAGTCCCAGACCCTGGGGGTGGGGGGAGGGGTGCCTCCCTCTGCCTCTCATCTGGCCAGTCACTCAACCAGCCCCTCTCCTCCCCAGCTCACCTAAGGAAAGAACGAGCAGATGCACGGGTGCCAAAGTGGGACACTCAGCAGGGTGGAGTCAGAACAGCTTCCGAGGCGGCTGTCACCCCAGGCCAGGCTCTGTGCCCAGCACTTACCCGGCTCAGCTCATTCCTCCCACCCCTGGGACACCTCCACGGGGGGTGGGATGAGGAAGGGGAAGGCTGGTGGTGTCATTTGGGGAGAAGAGAAGACAAGAGAGAAAAGAAAAGAACAAGACACACCAATGTGCACGGGAACGTTCTGGAAGAAAGTTCTGGAAGAACCTGAACCGGGCTCCCTCCAGGGGCACTAACGGGAACTCGTGTGGATGTAACTGACTGGGACTAGGTCTGGGGCTCAGGAGAACAGGGGGGCCGCATCCGCGTGTGGCTTGCGAGGAGGTCCCCGTGCAGACCCAGGACCCCGGGTCAGCGGGCCACGGGCCCCCGGACTCACGTTTGGAAGCAGTGCGCGGCCGAGAGCACCCAGCGGCGGTTGAGCAGGGTAGCTCCGCACTGGTGGTAGCCCCATAGGCGCAGGCTGCCCTGCCACGGCCAGCGCCCGAGCTTCGAGTCCTTTCCACCTATCACGCGTGTCAGGACGTTCCGTTGGCCACAGGGCCCTGGGATGGACAGTCGGACACGTGGCTGAGCTGCAGGAGGCAGGCTCATCCTCGTGCTCTCGCCCACTGGGGTGCGCGAAGGGAAGGGGCTCTCCGGGAAACCGCGCGCGTGCTGGGGTCGTCAGCCCACGGAGAAGGGGACGCTGGGAGCCCTCCCCACGTGGTCCGCAGGTGCCCGCCCCTTTCCCCCACGGTCCCATCAGTTACATGTGAGCAACGACGAGTTCTCGAAACCTGGAGTCGGGGAGAGAAAAAGATGAGGCGCCCTTTGCGCTCCGGCCCAGGTGCCTTACGCAGGGAAGCGCGCGTCCTGGGCGCCTTACCTGGAAACAGCACGTCCTGATCCTGCAACCCTGAGGGGAGACGAGAAGGTCAGCTGCCCTGGGTGTCCACGCGCCCCATCCTCCCCCATCACCCCTGGGTCGGCCGGCAGCCCCCGCCTGAGCTCACCCCGCTTCCCGAGTTCGACTCCCACCAACAGCTGCGCCAGCAGCAGCGCCCCGACCCGGACGTCCATGGCCTCCTCTCGGGCCCGCCGCTTGGCGCCCCGTCTGCTTCCGCCTGCTCCAGGGCCCGGCGGGGCGCCCCCTGGGGGAGAAAGAGCGACAGGAACCTTGGCCCCCACCGTCTGCCCCCTTGACCTCTCCGGGTGTGAGAGCTGTTTGGGAACATGATACCTCACAGTGCCCCAGCTTTGAGCTCGTGCTGGGGCTGGGTCCCCCAACCACGCCCCTTGATGTGGCCCGGGAAGCAGCGCGCCCCCACAATCCTTTTCTTGTCTGCAACCCTGGGGTTCTGGCTGCCTCCTTTTCTACCCACTCCTTCCTCCAAGAAGGCTCAAGGACGTGGCCCGCAGCCAGGCCTTCCAAAGGTACGATAACGCGTCCTTGAGTGCCCACTGGAGGCCTAGCACTGTGTCACCTGCTGTTAAAATTGATGATTCTTGGGGCCGCCCCGTGGCCCAGTGGTTAAGTTCCAGCGCTCCGCTTCGGCAGCCCGGGGTTTCCCGGTTGGGATCTTGGGCGCGGACATGGCACGGCTCATCAGGTTACGCTGAGGCAGCCTCCCACATAGCACAGCCAGGGGCACTCACAACTAGAATCCACAACTATGTACTGGGGCGCTTTGGGGAGAATAAAAAAAAAAAAAGATTGGCAACAGTTGTTAGCTCAGGTGCCAATCTTTAAAAAAAAAAAAAGTAATGATCCTTTAGGACCCACAGAGTAAAAGCTGGCCTGATTTTGACCACTTGGGCGGCTCTTAGCTTCCTTGTCTTCTTGCAGCCTGGCAACAGGCCCCACCAACTCCATAGAGCCTACAGGCAGCTGTCCTTTCTTGTGAGTGATGTTGCAGGGCACCAAAGTCACCAAGCTGCTCTTCAGTCATAGATGTGAATGGACAACTGAGTCAGGGTCCACGAGGCCACCCGAAGTCAGTGATTCACTAGAAGGACTCAGAACTCGGAAGAGCTGTTATCCGCGTGGCTATGATTCATCACAGTGAATGGATACAGGTAACATCAGCGAATGCAAAATGTACAAAGGACAGAAGGCAGGAGAGACCAGGTGCAGGCTCTCAGCGGTCCCCTCCCAGTGGAGTCAGATGGACAGCACTTAATTCTCCCAGCAATGCTGTGTGGCAACATGTGTGCGGTATGGCCAGCCAGGGCAGCTCCCCTGAGCCTTGGTGTCTGGAGTTTTTATTGGGGTTCCATCATGTGGCTGACCTTAGTTCTCAGACTCCAGCCCCTCCAGTGGTCCAGCAGAAACAGGGTGGCTCAAGGCCCTGTCATGAGTCACACTGTTCACATCAGCTCTCTGGCATGGCCCAAGGGCCCAGGTTTACAGAGACACTCTTTTCAGGTAGGACAGTCCGAGGGCTCAGAGGTTATTTCCTAGGAGCCGGTCATGGGCTAGTCCTTTATTTGGATCCTGCAGGGTCTGGACATCCTAGGCCTGAGCAGCCAAGGATGAAGAAATGTTCGAGGAAAACCCTCACACGCACCAGAAGGATTTATTTGGATAAACTGAACTGACTCCATAGAAAACTGAGATAATACACAGAGCAGCAGACAACTTGGAAAATTCTAACTGGCTTCCTCAGATCCTAGTGTCCTGAGAGGTATTGACAGCATTAGACAGGAATTATGTGGGAAAAGAGCATTCAGAGAACACGAATGAGTGTTTGGAAATTTATAATATTGCTGAAGGAAAACATTTTAGCCAAAGAGCTGCATAGTATGGACACAGCTAAAGAATGAATCGGCAAACTCGAAGACAAAGTAGAGAAACACATTCAGAGCTTGGAGCAGAAATTTAAAAAGGGCAGATGACATGAGAGAAAAATGTAAAGACATGGAGGGATAGACAGGATTGGTTCTATGCTTGTCATCGTTTGAGCTAGGTGACAGGTGTAGGGTGTTTTTTTGTAGTCGTCTACATCTATGTATATTTAAATTTTTACATAATAAGTGTTTTTAGTAAAATAAAATAAAGGGTTGAGAAAAGATGACAAGCAGGCCAGGCTCTAGACTGTTAGGAAGATAGGTCCATCCTTGGCGTTGATTCCATATTCTCCAGGCATCTGTCCACAGCAGTGGGAACTGTCCTGGACCATAAAAGTCTAAAGATGAAGACATGTCTCCCCAACTTGTTTTTTCTCTTATGCTTTTTTGGTGAGGAAGATTGGCCCTGAGCTAACATCTGTTGCCAATCTTCCTCTTTTTTTTTTTTTTCTCTCCCCAAAGCCCCAGTACATAGTTACATATCCTAGTTGTAAGTCCTTCTAGTTCCTCTAAGTGGGATGCCACCACAGCATGGCTTGACAAGCTGTGTGTAGGTCTGCACCCAGTATCCGAACTGGGGAACCCTGGGCCACCCAAGTGGAGTATGCAAACTTAAACACTATGCCGTGGGGCTGGCCCCTCCCCCACTTTGTATATTCCTAACATAGCAGCAGAAACAGGAGCATAACGAACACACTTGGAAAAAGAGGACTGTGAAATCTGGTTGCATTTCCGGGTCAGGTGCTTTGCTGGGCGTCCCAGTCCGTTTGGGCTGCTCTAACAAAATGCCGTGAAGAGAGTAGCTTATAAACAATGAACACTTATTTCTCACAGTTCCTGGGCTGCAGGTCTGAGTTCCAGGTGCCGGCAGGTTCAGTGTCTGGTGAGGGCCAGCTTCCTGGGTCATAGCTGTTGCTTCTCACTGTGTCCTCACATGGCAGAAGAGGCAGGACAGGTGTCCCAGTCTCTTTTATAAGGGCACTTAATCTCATTCTTGAGGGCTCCACCCTCATGACCTAATCGCTTCCCAAAGGCCCTGCCTCAGAGCACTGTCACTCTGGGGGTTAGGATTTCAGTGTATGAATTTGGAGGGGACACTGACATTCAGACCACAGCACTGGGGCTGTGCGTATTTGACTTCCTCAGTATCACATGCAGCAGGTGACCAGCTCCCTGTGAGCACAGAAAGGGTTATTGAATGGGTGTGAGTTTTAAGTAACACTCAGTGATGATGATAAGATCTCTTGTGATGTCTCCAAATCGGATTTACTGTGAAATGTGCCAGCTCTTACATAATTCTGATAATCCAGGAATTCTCAATCACAATCTCGAGCAGGCAGGATGTGCCTTTATCCTCACAGGGTATCATTGAATCATCGAACTTCTGTTTCTTTCGCAATTACAAAAATTGATACTACTGTTAATGGAATCACGGTCATGTGCCGCGTAATGACGTTTCGGTCAATGACAGACTGCATAGATGACATTGGTCCCATAAGATTAGTACCATAGAGCCTAGGTGTGCAGTAGGTGTACCTTCTAGGTTTGTGTAAGTTCACGCTACGATGTTTGCACAACAACAAGATTGCCTAACAATGCATTTCTCAGAACGCATCCCTGTCATGAAGTGATACATGACTGTACTTTATTATTTTACAAGTATTCCAGCAAGTATATTCCATACAAGGGCAAGCATGAGTAGGTTAGAAATTTTATTTTTTTGTAATTTCTTTCTAAACGTCTTCTTTTTGTTTTGTTTTGATTTAAAAATATATATTGATGAAGAAATTGCAAACAAGATGAGAGTGGCTGTGGACTATCGCATATCAGATGATTTCAGCCGAAATGGAACCCCGGCTGGCGGTCCTCAGGATGGAGTGCAGGGATGTCACATTGACGAAAGTTATAAGCCACTGAGAAGATGGCAGGGGCGTGAGGCGTTATGCCCCCAACAACAGAGCTTTGAAATACATAAAGCAAAAAAATGTTCTAAATACTCGGGAAACTAGTAAATCCACATTTTTTTCCTCAGAAATCAAGAGATTAGGTAGAGGAGAAAGCAATAACACCAGAGTAGTCACCAAGCAGGATTTTTGCCTAAATCAAGTGTTTGGGGCTGCTAAGAGAGCCACCATGCCCTCTGGGGTAATGAGTCCCTGGAGGGGGAGCTGCCTGGAGGCCAGGTTGATGGGAAGGCGTGGAAAGGATGGGTACTTTCTGAGAAGTGGAAAAACCTTAAGAATCAGGAGCAGTCTCTTGGATCCCTCCTCCCCCCAATGCCCAAGGCTGGTCAGCTCTCCTTTCCTGCCCACACACCCTCTGTAAGGCCCCTGACCTGGAGGCCAGGGCCTCAGCTGCAGGCCAGGGCAGTAGTGATGGACATCAAGGTGTCTGCTGTTTGTGGTCAGAGCAGAATATCAGGGGCAACGGCTTTTCAGGCTGAGAATCCCGCATCTCCTCTGGCTGCTCCATCTCCTTGAATGAGGGGTCCCCTCTCAGGCCCAGGCATCCTGGCCTCACCTCAGGCCCTTGAGAGCCCCAGGTTGAAAATGGATGGCCAAGGGGGCTAGGGGGCCTGCCCTAGAGTCTGCAGTGCCGCTGCCCCTGTCCTGGGGTGCCAGGCACCGGAGTACAGAGCACAAAGTCGATTTATCTGGCTTTGCCACTTTTAGGGCCTTGGACAAGTCATTCAACCATTAGAGTCTCGGTTCCTCTGCTGAAGGATGGGGATTGTGATAGCTCCCGGGGAATCCAAGAGGTATGCGGCATGGTTGGCAGAGTGCCAGTACACGGTAAGTGATGCGAGGGCTGGGGCTGGGGAGGGAAGCCCTGAGGGTCTTGCCAAGGATGTGGAAGAGGCCAGGGTCCCTGTGCCCAGGAGCAGTGAGAGGGCCCAGGCCTGAGGACAAGGAGAGGAGGTGTCAGCCCCACCCCAGGGCAAGCTCAGAAACTTGGGCTGGAGCTGCAATCTCCTTCCCTCTCCTGAGTGTCTGAGGACTTTGACCCCAAGAGCCAGCCCGGAAGTGGCAGTGGGAGCGCAAGATGGAGCTGGCCCTCACCACCGCCCTGCTCTCCCTCCTCCCAGGAGCCCTTCAGGGGAGCCCCCCGGCTCTCCCATCCAACTTTTCCCGGACGGATGACAGTGTGATAAACTGGGACTCAGGTAGGACAAATATCATGGTACCGCCGGAGAGAGAGCCGGGGTTTTGGGGGGCAGATAAAGAGGGGAGTGTAATAAAGACAGGTGCCCCGCTCCTTATAGCCTTGTACTTGGATGGGTCCCCTAAGGAACTCAGACATCGGGGGGCCGGCATCCACTCCCCCAGAACTCAGCGCCTTCACAGCTCCCACCCAAACCCACCCGCCAGGCACATTCTGTGTTGTGTGGCGCTGCAGCAGCATCAGATTCTCCCCAGGTGCCCAGCCGGGCCGCTCCCACCTTCCCTCTCTCACCATGCTTGGCTGAGCAATCCAGGCCCCTGGTCCCCACCTCCCCAGCTCAGCTGCTGTGCACCCCCCAGGGTGGTCAAGTTCTCCCATCAAGGAGAGGGACGTGCCTTGCTGAGCCTGAGAAGAGGGCCCACGAGAGGCAGGGAGAAAGGAGGGCAGGTCTGCAGGGTTAGGGGAACCAACAGGGGACCTTGGTAACCTGGCCCGTGGACCTACCCCACAGTGTGTGGACGCCCACAAGTGTCAGGCCGCATTGTATCAGGAGAAGATGCCCAACTGGGTGAGTGGCCGTGGCAGGTCAGCCTGCGGGAGCATGGACAGCATGTGTGTGGGGGCTCCCTGATCGCCAAGGACTGGGTGCTGACTGCTGCCCACTGCTTTGACCAGTGAGTATCTGTCGGGGCACGAGTGTGAGCTGGGGCCAGCCAGCACCTACCCTTCACCCCTCCCTGACACCCTCCCTTCCTCATTTGAACAGGAGCCTCCTGCCCACCTGGGCAGAAGACGGACAGGGGGTGTGTCCTCCAGGGTCTCACTTGTCTACCCAGGATGGCCCCAGTTCTGGGGCTGGGCGTGGTGTGGAGAGAATGGGGGAGGAGACAGTCCCAGTGCCAGTCCTCCCATTGTCCACCTCCCAAGAAATGATTCATTTCCCAGAAACCAAAAGCTCCTAAATCAGAACGTCTCTTGAGAATCCGAGGCCTCAAGTCCACTGCTCACTAGCTGGGCGGCCTTTGGACAGGTGACTTCACCTCCCAAGCCTGTTGCTCACCCGCCAAATGGAGGGAGTAGCAGGCGCCTTGCAGGGCTCCCACTGGGATGTGCTCAGCTCATAAAGAGTTTCGTCTGTAATGTTAGTTCCCTGGAATCAAGATTGCCCTTAGCCCCGTCCGTGGGGCCTAGGCATAGCCTTCCCGACCCCTTGACTTATCCGCCCCCCCAGGAAACAGCTGCTGTCTGCCTACATGGTGCTCCTGGGGTCCATCTCCTCCTACCCCCAGGTCAACGAGCCCCGAGAGTTCCGAGAAGTGGCCCAGTTCATCATCCACCCAAACTACTTGGAGGAAAACAACAGGGCTGACATCGCCCTAGTACAGCTGTCCTCACCCGTCAACTTCAGCAGCCTCATCCTTCCAGTCTGCCTCCCCAGTACTGGAGACCCCCTAGGTCACGGCACGTGGTGCTGGGTCACCGGCTGGGGGAATATTGGCGTAAATCTACGTAAGGACGTCTAGAGCTGGTGGTGGGGTGGGGGTAGGTGGGGGTGACTCAGTGGGGGCCAGTTCTGACACCCTACCTGGGGCCAGCTGCACAGCCACTACCCTCAAACAGGATGGAGGTGGAGCCCACAAACACTGGTACAGCCACAGCAGGGGGAGCCACTGAAATACTGCCATGACAGTGCAGAAGCAGCCTGCCACCCCAGACCCTCCTTTGGGCTCCCAGCATCCAAGAACCAAAGCATTAATGCCAGACCCACAGAGGGCTCCGGGATGCTGGCCCAACCTGGGGTCCAGACCATGCCACAGGCTAGTACCTGTGCCGTTAACGCTGTTAGAGAATTCACACATCACCCCTGCCCTCATGGGGTGGGGTCCACAGCCTGGCCTCAGTCCTGGCTGGGTGACCACCAGCCTTGCTGGAGCATGGTTTCCTCCTCCGGCAAGAGAAGATCTCAAAAGTGCCAACCTCATGGGGTCAAGGTGAGGATTACATGGAATAATGAATTTCAGGCACTGCCCATAGGGCTGGGCAGTGCATCAGCCACTGTCATCATCATCGTGCTTGTAATATCCCTTCCTATCAGGGTCCTGGGGCCGCCATAACAAAGGACCACAGACTGGGTGGCTTAAGACAACAGAAACGTCTTCTCTCCCCGTTCAGGAGGCCACAAGTCTGAACTCAAGCTGTCAGCAGGGCCATGCTCCCTCTGAAGGCCCCAGGAGGGAACCCTTCCTTGTCTCTTCCAGCTTCTGGTGGCTCCTGGCAATGCTTGGTGTTCCTTGGCTGGTGGCTGCATCACTCTGCCTCCGTCCCTGCCTCCGTCTTCACACAGCCTTCTCCCTGTTGTCTCGGTGTCTTCTCCTTTTCTGTCTCTTATAAGGACACTCTCTCCCTAATCCAGTACGATCTCGTCTTAACTAATTACATCTGCAAAGTGTCTATTTCCAAATAAGGTCACATTCTGAGGCTCTGGGTGGATGTGAATTTTTGAGGGCCATGATTCAACCCACTTTTGACTTGGGCCTTGGGCAGCCAAGAAGCATAAGGGGTCAGTTGGTGGGAGTGACTTGACCACAGTCCACGGCCTGAATTGGCTCCTGAAACCAGGTCTCGGCTCTTGCCCCTCACCCTGCTGCGTGTCCATCCTACCACATTCCCCGGGCGCTGGGAGGGATCCTCCAGGCATGCCCAGCCAGGGAAGGGAGGGAACAGTTCTTCTGGCATTTTGAATGTTAAACACAGGTCCACCTTGCCATCTGGGCCTGTTCGTTGGGGTTTCATGAGGGCAAACACAGGCCCCTCTTCCTCGGGAACGAGAGGAGCGACATGCAGAAACGCCTTTGTGTCATTGGTCCACCGGAGTGTGGGCGAGTAGGGACAAGCCAGCTGAGAGCCAGGAGGCAACCGGCTCCCCTCTGAGCTCCGCTCTCTGCTCCCCACCACAGCACTCCCTCCTCCCTTCACCCTGAAGGAGCTGCAGGTGCCCCTCATTGATGCCCAGACCTGTGACACCTACTACCATGAGAATTCCGGGATCCCCACCGAGGAGCCCATCATCCTGGAGGACATGCTGTGTGCCGGCTTCGAGAGTGGCCAGAAGGATGCCTGTGGGGTGAGCAAGCACGCCCGGTTGGGGCTGGGTCTCCCACTGCCCGTCACCACTGGGGACCCCCCCAGGGCAGAGGAGAGCAACATTGTTTTAGATACAAGCATCAATTCGAAAAGAAAAAAATGTTCCTGGACCCTGCCTCTCTTTCCAAGATTATATAAATATTGTCAGAACACGCAATACCCACAGATGTGCTTCTGCAAACTGGGACCATACTCCTGTCCCTAAGACTTTTCCTTTGGGGCCAGAAGCTTCTTTTTTCTTTCCAAAAAACAACACTGAGAACCTTTGAACAAATTTTCCTGAGGAGCAGGTCCCTTCTGGGCTGGGTTGGCCTTGTCTTTCCCTGTCTGCTCTTATAAGCAAAACACACTTTATCTCACCTCGCCTCTTAGTATTGCTTCGTCTCAAACAGATTTTTTTTCATCCAAAACGAAGCAAACAGCATTCTTAGCAACACAGAAGTGCTCCTCAGAGCCCCTCCTCTGAAATATAGTTTTATTTAGAGAATAGAGTGTTCCCATTGTACTGCTTGTCCCACCTGCCAGGAATTTCGCCCCTAATTCCCAGACCAGTCACTCCTGCCGCCTTCCAGAAACATCTCATCCATCGATCCTCTGTCCGCTAGACCTGGCCAGCAGACCTCGAGGGAAGTTGGTGGGACTGGGCGGCCCTATGAACCTCAATCTCCCCCGTGTGTAAAGAGGGCAGCTACATTTCTGGACTGTTTTTCTCTCCAGGGTGACTCCGGAGGCCCCCTGGTCTGTGACGTTGATGGCATCTGGATCCAGGCAGGGGTGGTGACCTGGGGGTCTGACTGTGGCCTCCCCAAGAAGCCAGGTGTTTACGCCAGTGTCAGCTTCTACGCCTCATGGATTGCCAGCACAATCGGGAGCTCAGCCCCAGAACTCAGAAATTTCTCTCCAAGCCTGGCTGGGATCTTCCTCTCTGCCCTGTTGTTGCTTCTGGGACTACTAGGGGGCACCCCCGTCTCCCTGGAGCTTGCCTAACCCGGCAGCCAGCCCTGTGGCCTTAGTCCCTGCCTTCCAAACGCATCCCTCTCTCCGCTCCCTGCCAGGAGGGCAGGAGGCGGCTTCCTGCAGGGACCGCTTCCCCAAGCTCTCCCTGGTCAGCCTCTCACGTGTCCCCCACGGGCCCTAAGTTGCCCTCTCGCCCTCCCTGACGCCTTGGGAACCCCCACAGACAAAGCCTGCTGTTTCCCGCTCCTTGGCCACCGTTCAGAGCTGAGTCTCCAGGTGCCCCCACGCTCAGGGATTCCTTTGGGAGTTTCTGAGACTCTTGGAAGTGGGTGTCCAGCCTCTGGTGTTGGGCTGGTGCCTTTGCAGGTGTGTCTGTCTGAGAGGCAATAAAGATGAGTTGGCAGAAGGGCATTCCTCCCTGTGCCTCAGGGACCCCAGAGGTGTCATGTGAAAGAACTCCTGTGTGTGGGAGCTTTACCCTTAGGATGTCACTGGATGCTCACAGCAGCCCTGCGAGGAGCACATTACTATTATCTCCATCTTTCAGACAGGGAAACTGAGGGCTGCAAGCTCCAGGGCTTGCCGGAGCCCACTCTCACCAGCAGCCCTGTCCCTAAGCTCAGGGGATGGCAGAGCAACATGTCCTGGGGGTCCTGGGGTGATGGCAGGGCTGGGTGTGAATCCCAGGGTCATGGCAGGGCTGGGGGTGAGTCCCAAGGTCATGGCAGGGCTGGGGGTGAATCCCAGGGTCATGGCAGGTCTGAGTGTGAGTCCCAAGGTCATGGAAGGGCTGGGTGTGAGTCCCAGGGTCATGGCAGGGCTGGGGGTGAGTCCCAGGGTCATGGGCTGGACTGGAGGTGAATCCACATCGCCGCGACATGAAGGGCAAAGGCTGGGGCCAGGCTGAGCTTGTTTTCCATCTCTCTCCCTCTTCCCAGCCCCAGTCTCTGGGGGAAGCCTGGGAACTGGCTGGAAATGTGTAAGCCGGCAGCTGAGGAGGGAGCACAGGCCTGGGACCTCAGGCAGGGGCAAGGATGTGAGTGGGGGCCCCTGTGGGCCACTATGCAGAGGAGATGGGAGGGAGGAAGGAAGGGCAGGCTGAGCCCCTTTGGGTGGGAGCCTCAGCCTCTGTCCTGGGACACTCCTGGCCTGTGCCTGGCTCTCCCACCCACACCGAGCCCAGTGGCCACACACTTCAACAGCTCCCTCTGCCCTCAGGCAGCATGCCAAGGACTTTCCACCTTTTGTAGCTCCCACCTGTCCCTTGCAGATCACTCTCCAGGACTTTCTCCACAGTGTCCTCTGCCCTTGATGCCGAGCTCACCTGAACCTAGGCACCCCTCCCTGGAGCCTTCTCTGGATGCAGGGGGCCCACGTATCCTGCTGTCTGCCTCCAGGGCTGTCGCCTGATGGCCAGACAGCCTGGGAGGCACTCCTGGTCCCTGGGACTAGCCAGGGTGAGGGGCAGCTGGGTGGAAATAGAGAATAGCCTTGCAGGTAGGGTGGCGGGGGGCGGGTGGCTAGGGACAGCCACAGGCCCCTGGACCTGGGTGTTACAGCGGACCCTGGAGGAAATGAGCCTGCACTCGGTCTCCAAGATCGTCCCGCATCCCGACTACAGCTGTGGGCTGACCACCAGTGACATCACTGCGGTCACCATGCACTCAAGGCCCCCGACACTGCCCGTATCTGACATGTGTGCTCTGGGACGCCGTGCTAGGGAACCAGCTGGGCTGCTCCAGGGAGGAGTGTGAGCCCCTCTTCCCTCGCCCAGGAGACCCCTCCTGCACATGCAACCACGGAGGTGAACTCCAACTGCTGCCCACCTTCTCCAGGCTTCTCCTGTGGGGACATTGTGAGGTGGCAGCCAGGTGTGACAGCATGGATGAGGGAGGGAGGGCAGGACATGCTACCCCTTCACCTACCTGTAGGGGCCCCAGTGACCTCTGAGGGCCACCTTGAGCCTTGCAGACTCTGTCTCTGGATTCCAAAGAGCTGACATTCCCCAAGGGGCATCAAGGGGCCACCTGGAGAAGCCCATGGTCAGGGCCGCTCCTGGGCCACCAACCTCAGCAGGTGCCCCCTCCACAGCAGATGCCTTTATGACAGTGACGACTGGGAACCCCGAGCCAGAGCCCCTCCCCCCCCAGAACCTCTGCCAATCTGCATCCCTCTTTTTTCTCCTTCCTTTTCTCCCTCTGCCACACTTTCCTGTCATCCTCCATCAACCCTTCAATTCCACAAACATTCACCAAGCGTGTCACACAGTCCTTGGGGGCATCTGAGAGCCACACGCGCAAATGACCAAACAAGATGATTTTGGATGTTTCCACGTTCTAGGGAGAAAATACAACATGGTAGTGAGACAGACAGTCAGCGGAAGTATATGGGGTTCACTTTAGATGGAAGAGGGCAGGGAAAGCCCTGCTGAGGAGGTGACGTGAGACTTGTGTTAGCCAAAATGTACAGCTTTACCACGCAAAGATAAGCTTGTGTTTTTTTTCTCCCCAAAGTCCCAGCACATAGTTATATATCCTAGTTATAAGTCCTTCTAGTTCCTCTGTGTGGGATGATGCCACAGCATGGCTTGACCAGGGGTGCTAGGTGCATGCCTGGAATTCGAACCGGCAAACCCTGGGCAGCTGAAGCGGAGCGCAAGAACTTAACCACTATGCCACTGGGTCGGCCCCTAAAGATAAGTTTTAAAGAAAAGAGAGGCTTTGTCAAAGGGTTTGCAAACCGGGGAAGTACACCTCAACCGGCAAGTTGATAGGTGAACCCCCTTCAGTCTTGGGGTGGCTGGTTTTTAAAGGCAGAGTGCAGAGCGTGCATGGTTAAGGCTGAGTCCGGTTCTGAGGCCAGTCCTTCCCCGCTAGAGTGGATCTCATGCCGGGGCTTTCTAAATGTCCTCACTGCAGGGCAGGACCACGGCACTGTTCTCTGGCCATCCGGTGACAGTCAAGGTTAAAATGTAATTTTTTTATTTCTGCCCATAGTCCAGCCTTGAGCAGGTCATGTTAACCATCATCTCGACTCTGGCCTCGTTTTCATCTCTTTCTTTTCTCTCTTGAATGCTGTGATGAAGCCCACCGTGTGACCGTCTGGGAGGAGTCTGCAGGGAGAGGCGACCCCACGGCCGAAGCAAGCTTGGAGCTCACTAGGAAAGGACGGCAGGGGGAGGGGACAGGCAGGTGGTCAGAGTGGGGGAGAGCCAGAGGAAGGGGCTCTCAAGGACCGTGGGGAGTCCCAGGGTTTGCGGCTTAAGCGATCCCTAGGGCTACAGTGGAGAAGGGGCTCCCTGGGCCTCCCTCCCGAGCCAGGGAGGGTTTCTGGTGCTGCTTCCTGGACAATGAGCCACCCTTGGCCTTGACTGTAGGGAGTTCCCAGGAGACTGGCCAGTCACAAATGCTCAGGTGCTAAGGACTATGTCGGGGAAAACTCATCCCCTTGCCATGCCCAGGGACCCAGTCCCTACCTAGCCCTGGCTTCCCTGGGACCCATGCTGCTCCTGAGTCTGCCAGCCTGAGCCCACACCCACTGGCCCTCTCTCTGTAGGGTGACTTGGCGGGGGTCACGCCAGTGTGTGCAGTCAAGGAGGCTTGGTGACAGGCCGCCTGCATCCTCTGGAGAAGGTTCTGTAGTTACCAATGGCTTGGTGTCTCATGGGCATCTCCCTCAGCGTACTCTGGATCGAGGACATCATCTGGAGCCCTCTCTCCCTGCTCCAGGCGGGGACCCTGGCTCTGCCTGCCCCTGCTGCCAGCAGCTGATTCCCATGATAGTCACCACCCAGGCCCTCTGGGGTGACCCCAGGGCCAGGCCCAAGACCCAGGGTTCCCACAGAGTGGACACCTCCTGCGAGTTCCAGCCTGGCTCCCCTGCCTGGAGGGAGCCCCAGAAGCCAATGCTGGGAAACTCATCGCTCTGCGAACCCCACCCTGGACCTGGTTCAGGACACGCAGAGGGGCACCGAGCAGGCACGGTCCTCCTAGGACCCCTGTCTGGAGAGTCACTGCTCACAGTGACACTGAGATGGACAGCCTAGCGGTGTCTCTCTCCCATTTTGGCAATTTCCTTCCTCCTAAAACCCCGGGCAAAAAAGTTTGTGAAAGGCCAATTCAACTTTCACGATTTAATCTGGAGGAGGGTGATGAGAGGGGCTAGGCCTGCGGCCAAGGGGCAGCCAGGGCAGGCGGGGACCAGCAGGGAGGACAAAACCCAAGGCCTGCATTTCCCCCAGGAAGTCCTGCAAGGGAACCTCTCTTCCCGCCTCAGCCCACAGTGCTAGGCCTCCAGTGGGCACTCAAGGACGCGTTATCGTACCTTTGGAAGGCCTGGCTGCGGGCCACGTCCTTGAGCCTTCTTGGAGGAAGGAGTGGGTAGAAAAGGAGGCAGCCAGAACCCCAGGGTTGCAGACAAGAAAAGGATTGTGGGGGCGCGCTGCTTTCCCGGGCCACATCAAAGGGCGTGGTTGGGGGACCCAGCCCCAGCACGAGCTCAAAGCTGGGGCACTGTGAGGTATCATGTTCCCAAACAGCTTCTCACACCCGGAGAGGTCAAGGGGGCAGACGGGGGGGGCCAAGGTTCCTGTCGCTCTTTCTCCCCCAGGGGGCGCCCCGCCGGGCCCTGGAGCAGGCGGAAGCAGACGGGGCGCCAAGCGGCGGGCCCGAGAGGAGGCCATGGACGTCCGGGTCGGGGCGCTGCTGCTGGCGCAGCTGTTGGTGGGAGTCGAACTCGGGAAGCGGGGTGAGCTCAGGCGGGGGCTGCCGGCCGACCCAGGGGTGATGGGGGAGGATGGGGCGCGTGGACACCCAGGGCAGCTGACCTTCTCGTCTCCCCTCAGGGTTGCAGGATCAGGACGTGCTGTTTCCAGGTAAGGCGCCCAGGACGCGCGCTTCCCTGCGTAAGGCACCTGGGCCGGAGCGCAAAGGGCGCCTCATCTTTTTCTCTCCCCGACTCCAGGTTTCGAGAACTCGTCGTTGCTCACATGTAACTGATGGGACCGTGGGGGAAAGGGGCGGGCACCTGCGGACCACGTGGGGAGGGCTCCCAGCGTCCCCTTCTCCGTGGGCTGACGACCCCAGCACGCGCGCGGTTTCCCGGAGAGCCCCTTCCCTTCGCGCACCCCAGTGGGCGAGAGCACGAGGATGAGCCTGCCTCCTGCAGCTCAGCCACGTGTCCGACTGTCCATCCCAGGGCCCTGTGGCCGACAGACCATCCACTCGCTCGTAATGGGCGGACAAGAATCGGTGCACGGGCGCTGGCCGTGGATGGGCAGCCTGCGCCTGCCTAAAGGCCACCACTGCGGAGGGACCCTGCTCAACCACCGCTGGGTGCTCTCGGCCGCGCACTGCTTTGTAAAGTGAGTCTGGGGGCGGGTGGCCCGCTGACTAAGGGGAAGGGAGGGGGCTGAGACTCCACCAGGACGTGCGCGACCCCCCGGCCCTTCTGTTCTCCTGAGCCCCAGACCTAGTCCCAGTCAGTTACATCCACACGAGTTCCCGTTAGTGCCCCTGGAGGGAGCCCGGTTCAGGTTCTTCCAGAACTTTCTTCCAGAACGTTCCCGTGCACATTGGTGTGTCTTGTTCTTTTCTTTTCTCTCTTGTCTTCTCTTCTCCCCAAATGACACCACCAGCCTTCCCCTTCCTCATCCCACCCCCCGTGGAGGTGTCCCAGGGGTGGGAGGAATGAGCTGAGCCGGGTAAGTGCTGGGCACAGAGCCTGGCCTGGGGTGACAGCCACCTCGGAAGCTGTTCTGACTCCACCCTGCTGAGTGTCCCACTTTGGCACCCGTGCATCTGCTCCTTCTTTCCTTAGGTGGGCTGGGGAGGAGAGGGGCTGGTTGAGTGACTGGCCAGATGAGAGGCAGAGGGAGGCACCCCTCCCCCCACCCCCAGGGTCTGGGACTTTGGTGGTGGCCTCTGTGGGCTCTCACCCTTTCTCCCCTGGACGCTTTGGCCTGTAAGAAGAACTGTTGACGGCATCCCGCATGAGCCCCAGCAGCAGCCCCGGCAGTCTCACCTCATGGAGCCGGCCTGGGATGCTCAGGTGGCCCCTCTCTCCTCGCCTGCCAGGAACAACGATCCCTATGAGTGGACAGTCCAGTTTGGTGAGCACTCTGCTAGGCCACCTTTCTGGAACCTGTGGGCCTTCTACCATCGATACAAGGTGCAGGATATTATTATGTACCCCGAATTCAAGGGAGTTTTATTCAATGACATCGCCCTGTTGAAGCTGTCGTCCTTCGTTACCTACAATAAGTACATCCAGCCCATCTGTGTCCAGGCCTCCTCCTCCGAGTTCCAGAACCAGAACAACTGCTGGGTGACCGGCTGGGGGTTCCTCAATGAGACCAATCGTGAGGCTGGGGACAAATGGGTGGGGAAAGGGCATATTGTGCTCTATCACCGGCTGGGCCACAGCAGCCCCCACCTTGGTCCCTGTACAGCTGGGCCCGCCTTTGGCCTGCTCAGCATTCTCCTTTCCTGCTTCCTTCTGCTCCCCCTGAGAGGGCAGCACCTCTGTACCCCACCGAGTTCCTCTCCCTTCCAGAGACTGTGAGCCGGAAGCCAGGGTGGGGAGGGGGGCCAGCTTGGCTCAGCCTGCACCCGCCAGCCTGCAGGGGTGTGGGAGTTTGGGGAGGGCGGGTCCTTGTAAGAAAGGCCTCTGGCATTGTTTTTGGTTTTTAATTAAGATTTAATTCACAAACCATAAAATTCTCTCTTTTAATGTATACAACTCAGTGGGTTTTAGTGTATTCACAGAGTTGTGCAACCATCACCGCTGTCTAACCGCAGCATTTTCATCCTCTCAAAATGAAATCTCATACTTACTAGCTGTTGCTCTCAATTCCTCATTGTCCTAGGGCCGTAGCTCCTGGCAACCGCTAATCTGTTTTCTGCCTCTATGGATTTACTTATTCTGGACTCTTCATATCACACACAGTGTGCTCTTCTGTGCCTGGCTTCTCTCACTTAGGATAATGTTTTCAAGGTGTATCCATGTTGTAGTCTGTGTGTCTACACTTCATACCTTTTTTTTTTCTTTATTTTGTTCATATAACATTAAATTAACCACTTTAAAGTAGACAATTCAGTGGCATTTAGTACATTCACAATGTATAACCATCAACTCTATCAAGTTTCAAAACATTTTCATCACTGCCGGGGGAAATCCCATAGCCATTCAGCAGTCACTCCCATTACCCCCTCCTTCCGGCCTTTGGCAACCACTAACCTGCTTTTCATCTCTCTGGATTTAGCTATTCTGGATATTTCATGTAAATGGAATCATACATGTGACCTTTTGTGTTTGGCTTCTTTCACTTAGCAAAATGTTTTCAAGATCATCCATGTATCAGAATTTCATTCTTTTTTATGGCTGAGTAATATTACGTCCGTTGTATGGATATAACACAGTTTGTTTATCCGTTCATTCACTATGGACATCTGTGTTGTTTCTACCTTTTGAGTATTGTGAATAGAGCTGCTATAAACATTAGTATACAAATTTTTGTTTAAACCCCTCTTTTTAATTCTTTTGTGTATATATTGAGGAGTGTAATTACTGGATCACGTGGCAATTCTTTGTTTAACTTTTTGGGGAACTGACAGTGTTCCACAGCAACTGCACCATTCCACGTTCCCATCAACCATGAATGAGGGTTGTAATTTCTCCCCAATCTCCACAGCACTCGTTATTTTCCAGTTTTTCTATTTTGACCATCCTAGCGGGTGTGAAGTGGTATCTCACTGTGGTTTTGATTTGCATTTTTCTAATGACTAGTGATGTTGAGCATCTTTCCATGTGCTTGTTGGCCATTTGTATATCTGCTTGGAGAAATGCCTATTCAGGTGCTTTACCCATACATAGATTGAGTTGTCTTTGTTGTTCCGTTGTAATAGTTTTTTATATATTCTGGATACTAGACCCTTATCAGATATATGATTTGCAAATATGCAAATATTTTCTCCCATTCTGTAGGCTTTCACTTTCTTGATAGTCTTTTTTTCTTTTCTTTTCTTTTTCTTTTTTTTTTGCTGAGGAAGATTCATCCTGAGCTAACATCTGTTGCCAATCTTCCTCTTTTTTTGCTTGAGGAAGATTAGCCCCAAGCTAACGTCTGTGCCAGTCCTCCCCTATTTTGTATGTGGGCTCTACCACAGCGTGGCTGATAGTGGTGTAGGTCCATGCCCAGAATCTGAACCTGTGAACATGGGCCACCAAAGTGGAGCATGCTGAACTCAACCACTACTCCAGAAGGCCAGCCCCCTTCATAGTGTCTTTTGATGTACAAAATGTTTTAATTTTGGTGAAGTCCAAATATTTACTTTTTCTTTTGTTGCTTATGCTTTTGATGTCATATCTAAGAAATCATTGCCAAATTCATGGTCACAAAGATTTACTCCCATGTTTTCTTGAAGAGTCTTATAGCTTTAGCTCTTACATTTATGTCGTTGATCATTTTGAGTTGGTTTTTTATGATGCTGTGAGGTAGCAGTCCTTGTAGTAGGATATCCAGTTCTCCAAGCACCCTTTGTTGAGGAGACTGTTCTCTCCTCTATTGAATTGTCTGGGCACCCTTGTCAAAAATTGGTTCACCATAGATATATGGGTTTATTTCTAGACTCGCAATTCTATTCCATTTGTCTCTATGTTTATCCTTATGCCAGGACCTCATTGTTTGGTTGCTGTAGCTTTATAGTATGCTTTGAAATTGGGAAGTGTGAGACCTCCAACTTTGTTCTACTTTTCAATATTATTTTGGTTATTTGGGGTCTCTTGATATACCATTTGACTTTTAGGATCAACTTGTCAATTTCTGATAAAAGGCCATTGGTATTTGGATAGGGATTGCCTTGGATCTGTAGATTGCTTTGGGGTGTACTGCCATCTTAATAACATTCAGTCTCCAATCCATGAACACAGGATATGTTCCCTTTATTTAGTTCATCTTCAATTTCTTTCAGCAATGTTTTGTAGTTTTTTGTGTACAAGTCTTTCATCTCCTCAATTAAATTTATTCCTATTTTATTCTTTTTGATGCTATTGTAAATGAAATTTCTTTTTAAATTTCCCTTCGGAATTGTTCATTGGTGGTAGATAGAAATATAACTGACTTTTGTGTCTTGACCTTGGGTCGTGCAAATTTGCTGAGCTCATTTATTAACTCTAGTCCTTTTTTGTGGATTCTTTATGATTTTCTCCATATATATCCTGTCATCTGTGAACAGAGATAGTTTGCCTCTTCCTTTCCAAGTTGCATGCGTTTTATTTCTTTTTCTTCCCTGATTTTCCTGACTAGAACTTCCAGTGAAATGTTAAGTAGAAGTGGCAGAAACTGGCCTCCTTGTGTTGTTCCTGATCTTAGGGGGAAAGCGTTCAGATTTTCACCGTTCAGTATGATGTTAGCTGTGGGGTTTTCACATATGACCTTTATCATGTTGAGGAAGTTTCCTCTATTCCTGGTTGATTGAATGTTTTTATAGTGAAAGAGTGTTGGATTTTGCCAAATGCTTTTCTTGCCTCAGTTAAGATGATCATGTGGTTTCCCCCTTCATTCTATTAATGTGGTATGTAGTGCGTTAGATTGATTGATTTTCTTATGTTGAACCACCTTGCACTCATGGGATGAATCTCACTTGGTCATGCTGTACAATTCTTTCATTATGCTGCTGGATTCAGTTTGCTAGTATTTTGTTGAGAATTTTTGCATATATATTCATAATGGATATTGCTCTGTAGTTTCTTTTTCTTGTGGTGTCCTTGTCCGGGCTTTGAGGTCATGGTAACGTTAGTCTCATGGAATGAGTTAGGAAATATTCCTTCGTCCTCTATTTTTTTGGAAAAGTTCAAGAAGTTAATTTCTTCACATGTTTAGTAGAATTCACCATTGAAACCATCTGGTCCAAGGTTTTTCTTTGTTGAGAGGTTTCTGACTACTGATTCAATCTCTTTACTTATTATGGGTCTGTTCAGATTTTCTGTTTCATCTTGAGTCCGTTTTGGCAGTTTGTGTGTTTCTAGGAATTTGTCCATTTCCTCTAGGTTGTCTAATTTGTTGGCATATGAGTATTCAAAGTATTCCCGTAGAGTCTTTATTATTTCCACAAGGGTACTGTAGTAATGTCCCTGCTTCACTGTCCATTTTGTTGATCTTTCAAAGAACCAACTTTTGGTTGTGCTGATTTTCTCTATTGTTTTTCTATTTCCTAGTTTGATTTTTTACATTCCTTTCTTTATTATTTCCTTTCTTCTTCTACCTGAGGGTTTAGTTTGCTATTTTTCTAGTTCCTTAAGGTATAAGTTAGGTTATTGATTTAGAATTTTTCTCCTTTATTAACACAGGCATTTCCAGCTATAAACTTCCTTCTGAGAACTGCTTTTGCTGCATCCCATAAGTTTTGGTATGTTGTGTTTTCATTTACATTCATTTCAAAGTATTTTCTAATTTTCCTTGTAACTTCTTTAATTTCCACATATTTGTGGATTTTTAGGTTTTCCTTCTATTATTGATTTCTAGCTTCATTCCATTGTGGCTGGAGAATATGTTTTTCGTGATTTCAGTCTTTTCTAATTTACTGCAACTTATGTCTTGGCCTGACATATTGTCTATCCTGAAGCCTGATCCACATGCACTTGGGAGAAATGTGTATTCTGCTGTTGGTTGGGTGGATTATTCTGTATATGTCTGTTAGGCCAGTTAATTTACAGTGTTGTTCAAGGTCTCTCTTTTCTAGTTGATCTTCTCTCTGGTTGTTCCATCCGTTATTGAAAGTGGGGTCTTGAAGTCTCCAAATGTTATTGTAGAGCTATCTATTTCTCCCACCACTTCTGGCAATTCTGCTTCATATATTTTGGGGCTCAGTTGTTAGGTGTGTAGATGTTTATAATTATTATATTTTCTTGAGAGATTTGACACTTACATCAACATACAATGTCCTTCTTTGACCCTTGTAACAAGCCTTGACTGAAAGTCTATTTGATCTGACATTAGTGTAGCAACCTCAGCCCTTTTTGGGTCACTGTTTGCATGGAATCTCTTTTTCCAACCTTTACTTTCCACCTGCGTGTGCCTTTGGATCTAAAATTATTATCTTGAGGACAGCCTATAGTTGGATCCTGTGTTTTAATCCATTCTACCAATCTCTGCCTTTTAATTGGAGTGTTTAATCTATTTACATTAAAATTACTGATAAAGAAGGACTTACTTCTACCACTATTCTGTTTGTTTTCTGTATCTTGTCATATTTTTTATATCTGTATCTGTCATATCTTTTTGTTTCTTATTTCCTCTTTTTGTGTTTAATTGATTTTTATTACTGTACTGTATTGACTCCCTTCTCATTTCCTGTTCTGCATATTTTTTAGTTATTTTCATAGTGGTTGCCCTGGGAATTACAATTAACAACTTAAAGTTATAACAATCTATTTTAAATTAATACCAACTTAGCTTCCATAGTATACAAAAACTCGGTTCCTATACAGCTCTCTTCTTCCCCTTTAAGTTGTTATTGTCACAGTTTACACCTTTATATATTGTATGACCATTAACAGAGATTTATAACTATTCTTTTATGCATTTACTTTCTATATTATATTGGAAAATAGAAGTTATAAACCAAAACTATAATAATACCGGCTTTTATATTTACCTATGTAGTTACCTTTACTGGTGGTCTTTATTTCTTCCTATGAGTTTAAGTTACTGGTTAGAGCCCTTTCATTTCAGCATGAAGGGCTCCCTTTTCCATTTCTTGTAGGGTACATCTACTAGTGAGGAACCCTGTCAGCATTCATTTACCTAGGAATGTCTTCATCTCTCCTTTATTTTTTGAAGGATATTTTTGCCTGGTATAGAATTCTTGTTTAACTGTTTTATTCTTTTAGCACTTTAATATGTCATCCCACTGCCTCCTGGCCTCCAGTGTGTCTGAAAAGAATCCAGCTGTTAATCTTGTTGAAGATCCCATATACTTGATGTGTAGGTTCTCTCTTGCTGTTTACAAAATTCCCCCTTTGTCTTTGTCTCTTGATATTTTGATGAAAATGTATCTCAGTGTGGATCTCTTTGTGTTTATCTTCCTTGGAGCTGTTCAGCCTCTTGAGTTTGTAGATTCATATCTTTCATCAAATTTGAGAAGTTTTTGGCCTGGATCTGGCAGCTGCAGTATATTAATCATTAATGATCTCAGCTGTGTCAGCCCCTCCCCCTGTGCATCTTTGGCCAAGGAATCTCCCCACTGGCTCAGGCAGGGTCTGTCATCTCCATTCTACAAATAGGGAAACTGAGTCTCAGGGAGGAGCTTAACAGCCTGTCCATCCATTGGGTCCTTCTGTGAGATTGTTCATCACCCACAATGTGCTGGCTGCTGGGCTAGAGCAATGGCCCAGGCCCTGTGGGTGCCCCGGGGAGTCCACCCCCCCTTCAGCCTCTCCCTGTCTCAGATGGCAGAGGAGAGCTAAGGTTGTTGTCTTTCTCTCTCCCACCCTCAACCTCCGGCAGCTCTGCTGCCTCCCTACAATCTCCAGGAAGTGGAGGTCGCCATCATAAACAATTCCAGGTGTAACTACCTGTTCGGACAGCCTAGTATATTCAGGGGAGTCGGCGAAGACATGATTTGTGCTGGTGCTGAGGAAGGCGGCATTGACTCCTGCAGAGTGAGTGCCCCTGCCCAAACCAGGGCCTTGCTGGAACCAAACACCACCCCTCCCAACCTTGGGCCTGAGAGCAACCCTCATGACCCCCACCAACCGACCCTCAGAGTTTATTCATGAGAAAACAATTGTATCCCTTATTTAACCAGCCTGTAAAACAAGCTTCTTGTTTTACTTTAATTGTCCCTCCTTTGTTCCTCATGTGAAACGCAGCGGGTGGAGACTGTGGCCCCTTTGCAGATACAGCAACTGGGGCTTGTTTGCTTCCAGGGGAGGAAAAGGATTTGCACCCAGGCGGCCCAGCCCACAGTCCCTCCCACTCTCCCACCCTCCACTAGCCCCTCCTGCCCTACCCCTGGCCTGGCTCACTCATGCTGCTCCCCAGGGTGACTCAGGTGGACCTGTGGTGTGTCAAAAGAATGGGCTGTGGATTCAGGTTGGAATCGTGAGTGGGGGATCGGGCTGTGGTAGGCCCAACCGGCCCGGTATCTACACCAACGTTAGTAGGTACTTCAGCTGGATGCAGACGCTGGTGGGCCGCAGCACACCAAAGCCAGACCCCACTCAGCTGCTGCTGCCCCTCGCTCTGCTCTGGGCTGCCCCACTCCTGCAGCTGGCTGTACGCACCTGAGCCTGTGAGGATGCAGTAGTTACCACAGTGCCAGAAAATTCATCCAGGGCTGTGAGCATCCCAGTGGCAGGACTGCCTACTGGGTCAGGTCCAGTCCCCTTCTGTCTCATTTCTAATAAACACATGTGCATGTTCAATTTGATGCCGTGCAGAGCATCTGTGGACCTGAGTGGCCCGCTGGACAGCTCCCTCATGGTCACCCATGTCCCGTCCATCCCAGGACCCATCCCTAACTCCTAAATCTTTCTCCACCTGTCTGCACTGTACAGGTTTTGGTTGCAAACAGCAGAACCCTCTCAGATCAGTTCAATCAGAAAGAGAGTTTGTGGAAGGACATTAGTGGCGCCGGGGTCCCTGGGGGCTAGGAGGATGAGTGGGGGTGCTGTGAAGGACACCCCCTGAGCACCCCCATGCTCATGCTGGTGCTCCCCATCACACAGATGCTCCTAGTCTCACCACTGTCCCCCAAAGGCTGACCTGGAGCTGGGACTGGGATGCAGATAGCTTATTTGGGAGGTGATATCAAAAGCCCCAGTGAGGAGTGGGGAAACTGAGGCAGGGAGGGAAGAAACCCAATGATGTTTGCCCAAACGAGGAGATTACCGTTGTGGGTGACTGAGGCACAGTCCGGCTTGGGCCCTCTAAGAACCGTGGGGCACGCACCTCAGCATCGGCCCACTGGAGGACAAGGATGCTGGGCGTGGGCATTTCTCCCCTGACCTCCTACGGGTGGAGGGTGGTCCTGGGGGCACAGGAACTCCAAGCTGGAGCAGCCCCAGGGAGGCTCAGTGCCTGGGGAGCCACTGCCAAGCCATCAGGGGAACTGGGCAGCCTCCACTGTGTCTCGCCCCCTGCTGGGGTCCCAGAACCCTGCCTCAGTGTTCCCAGGCCAGCAGGGCAAACTCAGGGGCACCTCAGAGCTGCTCAGGCAGACTTGCATTTTCACAAGATCCCCCAATGCTGTGAGCGGAGGAAAGTGTGAGAACCTCTGGGGGGCCTGGATTGCTCCCCTCTGCTCTCCCCACAGCCCCCGCTGTGGAGAAGCAGGTGGGAGTCTTCAGAGTGGAGGGCCCTCCTCAGCTCTGCCCCAACCCTGACAGCCAGGCAGGTTTACAGGGCACTGCACTTGAGTCGTGCCCCATGCAGCACTGTGAGGCTGAACTTCCCTCCCCCTCTCACAGTGAGGAAACCGAGGCTCAGCGGGGTGACAGGACTGCCCGAGCCACCTAGCTCACAAGGGCCGGTGTCCACCTCTCACTGTATGTGGACCTGTCCAGGCCTGACTTGGAGGGGCCAGCAGATCCCTGGATGGCGGGGTCTTCACATGTCTCCTCGGGTCTCCTGCAGAACTCTCCTGCATTGTCAAGATTTCCAGTCCTGCCACCCACCCTCCCCAGGACAGTGGCCTTGAGGGTGGCCCCATCTCACCTCCCCCAAAGGCCCTCCATTGACCCCGAGAAGAGCATTTGTCACCCTGGTGTCCCAGGTGTTGCTGGAGGATGGTACTATTTAATGCCTGTGACAATGCCCTGTGGGACCGCCTGGCAGGGTTGACACTGCCCCTCCTCTAGCGGCGGCAGAGTAGCCTCTGGTGGCCCAGGGCCTGTGTGACAGACTCATCCACAGGAACACCTTGGCACCTACCTAGGCACACATCACCCACAGAGTCATGTTCGGGGCCACTTACCTAGAGGCTCAGAAGGACCCCTGCCAAGTGCCACAGCGTAACCCCTTCCCATGGCCTGGCTCACCAGTACAGCTTTATCTCTGCCAGGCTGACGTGGACAACCCCTGGTTGTTAGGTCCACATGATGTGGGGCTCTGGCTACAGCTATCCCAGGATCTGCCACAACAGTGCACACCAGCTGGTTCTGAGGAGGCTGCTGCTGTCTGGTCTGGTCTCCCCAGGACACCCACCCCCACCTCCTCCCACTGCCAGTTCTCCGGGTGCGCCTGGGTCTGGCCAAGGGCTGGCTGTGCATTTGTCAGAGATGAGTCCTGTGCTGTGGACAGTGGGCTGGGCACTGCCACACTGAGACACACCTGGAAAGGGTAGCAGGCTGGGGCACACCTTCCCCCCACCTTTGTCAGAGTGTGCTCTGGGGCCACTGGGGCTGTTAACAGAGTTATTTTGTTTTCATCCTTGGCATTTAGAGACTTTGGTTGTAAGCAACAGAATCCCCTGGAACTAGCATGAGTGAAGGAAAGTTGCATCAGAGGGATAAAGGGCAGCCCGGAGAGGGCGAGGATGACTGCAATAAGGAGCTCCAACACCATGGGACCTTCTTTCTCAGCTTGGAAGGTTCCAGGCTCTCAGAGCAGCTGAGAGTCCTCGCCTGTGGCCACGGCTATGGCTGAGCCCCAAGGGGTTCTCTCTCCCTCTTCCAGGGTAAAAATCCCAGGGGATGATTCTAATTGGTTGGGTTTGGGTCATGTGTCACCTCTTGACCAATCATTGTGACCTCGAGGACACAGTGGGATGATGGCCCCAGTTTGGGTCATTAGCCCATCGTGGGACTAGGGGCAGGTCTGGCACCAGAAAAAGGTGGGCTGACTCAGCTCTGGCCCTGGGGAGGCTGGTTGTGAGGCACCCTCCCAGGGCAAGTAGAGCCCAGGGGCCATTTCTGCTGTGGGGCTGAAGGGGCTGAGGGCCCAGAAGGGGTCTGCGCGCCACTTTCTCAATCTGAGACAGGGGTTGGGGACCCTTTCCAGGGTTCCTTTCCTACTCCCCTCAAGGTTCAACTGTCCATTATTCAGCCAGTTCCAGACCCTCCCCCCGCCTTCCCCCTTCACCCCAATTCCAACAGGCAGAGACCCAGGTCTCCTGCTACATAGGACGTCAGCCTTCCAGCTGGCTCCTCTCTCAACTTTGGCCCAGGTCCCCAGAGATGGCTGTATGTTCCCAGGGTCCCTTGTCACTCTCATTCCCACCAGCCTCTCCAGCTGCCCCCAACTCTGCACCAAGGGGAACACTGCTCTCCTGACCCGACTCCGACCAGCTGAGTCATCTAAGGGCAGCTGAGCTGGGGTGACCAGGTCAGGAGCTGGATCAGGGAGGTGGACCAGGGAGGATGAGAGGACCATGTGTCTTTCATTCTCGTAGCACTTTTCTGGCATGGATGTGAGGCAGGCACTGCTCCGAGCCCTGCACTGGGCAGCTGGCTAACCCACTAGTCTTCACAGCAATCCAAGAGGGGGGCTGTACAGAAGAGGAAGCTCCCCCAAGGTCTCAGGGCTGGAGGGAGGGCGCACTGCAGCCCGACTCGAGACCGGAGTGTGGGCTGGAGTGTGGTCCTGGGGCATGGACAGCAGAGGTCAGGCCTGAGCCCGCCTGCCCTCTGCTCCTCACCAAGGGCTAGGGCCCAGCCGCCACCAGGTCCCATTTTGGATTCCTCGCCCTCACCCCCAGCCTGCTGCCCTTTCACTCACTCCCAAATACTCAGTGCACACTCTACACTGGGCACTGTTGTGGCCATTGGGGACTGTTATGGACTGAATGTCTGTGTCCTCTCCAAAATTCCTCCACTGAAGCCCTAACCTCCAATGTGACTGTCTTTGGAGATGGACCTTTTATGGAAGTAATTCAGATTAAATGAGGTCAGAAGGGTGGTGCTCTGATCCCATGGGATTAGTGTCCTTATAGAAGAGACTCCAGAGAATGTCAACCCCTCACCCCCCACAGGTGCAAAGAAGAGGCCCTGTGAGCACCCAGCGAGATGGCAGCTGCCTACAAGCCAAAAGAAGAGCCCTCAGAATAAGACCCCCCCTTGTTCTTGGACTTCTCAGCCTCCAGAACTGTGAGAAATAAGTTTTTGTTATCTAAGCCACCCAGACAGTGGTATTCGGACCTGGCACCTTGAGCTAAGACAGGGACAGAGACCCAGATCCTGCCTCGTGGAGGGGAGACAAACTAAGGGGAATCAAACTTCCTCTATCACATGTCAGCTCACACTGTGACACGGCCAGCGAGGAGGGATGGCGGGCAGGAAGGCCTCCCAGGAGGAGGGGATGGAGCAGCGGGCTGTGGGATGAGGAGGACTTGACAAGGTAGAAAGAGGCTAGGGAGTCTTCTAGGTGGTGGGCATGGTCCAGGCCCAGCCCTTCACTGAGCCCTGAGCCCAGCATCTCCCAGCCTCACTGAGACCAGCAGCCTCACTGTCCTGGCCACCCCAAATTGAAGAATGGACTGTTTCCCAAGGTCAGGTCTGCTCCTGGCTTGCAAGGAGTGCTGCCAGCTTTGAACCAGCCATTCCTCACTTTGATCCTGGGTGCAGACCCAGGATCTGGGTGGCGCTTAGCCAGGCCTGGGATCTGGGCTCCCTGTGGGGCTGGCCAAGCTGGGATTTCTGGACAGAACAATAGCATTTGGACCGGCCTGGTGGCACAGCGGTTAAGTTTGAATATTGTGCTTCAGAGGCCCGGGGTTCGCCAGTTCAGATCCTGGGTGTGGACCTACGCACTGCTGGTCAAGCCATGCTGTGGCAGGCGTCCCACATATAAAGTAGAGGAAGATGGGCACAGATGTTAGCTCAGGGCCAGTCTCCCTCAGCAAAAAGAGGAGGATTGGTGGCAGATGTTAGCTCACGGCTAATCTTCCTCAAAAAAAAAAAAAAAGAAAAAAAGAACAGTAGCACTCAGAGGCCCCGGCAACCCACACTGCAAGGAGGCAGGAGCCAGGATCAGGTTTGGCGATGAGCTGCCAAGGATCCTCAGAGCTTCCTGGCCTGACCGCAGCCACCGCCCCCGACTCTGGCCCAGTGGCGCCCAGGCTTCTGCCTCCAGTTCTCAGCACCTTGGCCCAAGCCAGCCTTCCTTTGAGAAACCCAGGCATCCCTTCCCCTGCCACCTCGAAAGCGCTGCTCAAAGCATCTTTGTTCCAGGCTGGACTGGTGAAGCCGCAGTACCGCCCTGGTCTCCTTAATTACCCCCTGGCTGGGCCCCCGCCCCCTCATGGCCTTTTAAGCCCCCAGGTCCTCCCCCAGCTCAGTCATCAGGGAGGGCACCTGCCAAGAGAGTGAGAGCAGGGTCCAGGGGCTGCCAGGGCCAGCGAGGGCAGCTGTCAGGCAATGGAAGTAGAGGCTGGCAGAGGGGCCAGGCTCCAGGGTTCATGTGGAGGCATAGGGTGTCCAAATCTTGCAGGGTTTGAGGGGGCAGACATGGTCCCCGGGGCCTGGGCAGAGGGAAGTGCATAGAGCCTGGACCATGGGGATAGGTCCGGGACCAACCGGGGGCTGAGGGAAGACAGAAGGGCCTCTGGGGGGCTAGTGCCCTGGGCTAGGACCCTCCTCTCCTCTCCCTGCAGGCTCCGACAGAGTCCTAGCCCTGGGCACTGCCATCCTGACCCGGCCCTGCCCTGAAGACAGAATGAGGGGGGCCTCCTGCCTCCAAGTCCTGCTCCTAATGCTGCTGGGTGAGTTGGGGGCAGGGGCTAGGGGTGTTGGCCACAGGGACATTGGCTCCCAGGTCCCATCTCACCCCTCTCTGGCCTAGCTGACCTAGAGCACTCTAGAGCATCCTAATCTTGGGTTCAAGTTCTTCTGTCACTGACCTTGGGCTCTCCAAACCCGGATGTCCTCTTCTGTGTAATGGGCATAGTCCCCACCTCACAGCACTCTGGGGAGGGTTAAATCCAGTAACGGACTGCACAAAAGACTGGCACCAGGTCAGTGTGACAAATATGTTCCACCCCCCTCACCCCGTTATCTGACACCAAATCCGTAATCCAGTCCCTTCCCGGCTTCCTCCTCCAGGAGCTGCTGGGACACTGGAGTCTGCAGGTAAGGAAGACTCAGAGTCCCGCGGCGCCACCACCTCCCTGACCTTGGCCCTGTCTCCTCGCCCTCACTCTCCTCCCAGGCCCCCATCCTTCGCCCACCCTCGCCTTCCCCTTGTTCTCTCGTAGCCTGCGGGCAGCCTCGCGTGTCTAGTCGGATCGTGGGGGGCCAGGACGCCCGCGACGGAGAGTGGCCGTGGCAGGCGAGCATCCAGCACCGCGGGGCGCACGTGTGCGGGGGCTCGCTCATCGCCCCGCAGTGGGTGCTGACGGCGGCGCACTGCTTCCTGAGGTCAGCGGGCAGCCAGCTCCCAGGCTCGGGCTGGGCGCGCCCCTGCTCCCCGAGGGCTCCAGCGCGGGCACACCACCTGGCGGCGGCGCGGAGACTGCGCGGCGGGGGCTGTGCGATGGGGACTGCGGTCCTGGGGTGGGGCGGGGAGGGATACTGCGGAGCGGGGACTGCGGTCCTATAGGCAGGGGGTACTGCGTGCCGGGGACTGCAGTCCTAGGGCGGGGGGTGTCCACTGTTAGTGGCCTCTCCCCTGTCTCGTAGGCGGGCGCTGCCGTCCGAGTACCACGTGCGCCTCGGGGCGCTGCACCTGGGTGCCGCCTCGCCCCGCGCCCTCTCGGCGCCCGTGCGGAGGGTGCTGCTACCCCCCGACTACTCCGAGGACAGGGCCCGCGGCGACCTGGCGCTGCTGCAGCTGCGCCGCCCGGTGCCCCTGAGCGCCCGAGTCCAGCCTGTCTGCCTGCCGGAGCCCGGGTCCCGCCCGCCCCCCGGCACACCCTGCTGGGTCACTGGCTGGGGCAGCCTCCACCCGGGAGGTGAGGCAGAGGGCGGGGCACCCGGGCATTGTGAGAGGGACCCGAGATCCCCCTACACTGCCCTCTCACGGGGAATCCCAGCCCCACACTACGCCAATTTGGGACCCAGGGCAACCTCCAGGAACCCAAACCTCCCAATCAGGCTGGGGAGTCCTAGTCTGGCAGGTCCGACTCTTAAGCAGGGCTTCTCCCACGACACTTGCTTTCTGCCTCACCCTCTCCTAACTCTCAGAAGTGCTCCCTCTCCCCCCAGTGCCACTCCCAGAGTGGCGACCTCTGCAGGGAGTCAGGGTGCCACTGCTGGATGTGCGTGCCTGCGACCACCTCTACCACCTGGGCACCAACGTGCCCCGTGCTGAGCGCATAGTGCTGCCCGGGAACCTGTGCGCCGGCTACGTCGAGGGCCACAAGGATGCCTGCCAGGTGCACGAAGCTGCCTGGACCCTCCCGAGTCCATGCCCCTGTGCCCAGCACCCTACCTCCCTAGAACCCAAGACCCAGGAGATACCACCTCCAGGCTAGTGTCCTGGCCCCCAACCCAGAGGCACCACCTGGGGGACTGAAACCCCAGGACTGCCATCTGAAGTCCCCTGAGGGCTGGGACCTAAGCTCACCTTTCTCCTGCAGGGTGACTCTGGGGGACCCCTGACCTGTGTGAAGTCTGGGCGCTGGGTCCTGGTGGGCGTGGTGAGCTGGGGCAAGGGCTGTGCCCTGCCCAACCGTCCTGGTGTCTATACCAATGTGGCCACTTACAGCCCCTGGATACAGGCTCACCTCAGCCTCTGATGCAGTGACACTCGCCTGAAGCCAGACACTGGGGTCCCTCAGCCAGCCGGTTCACCTGGGGACCTGCACATCCCCCCACCCTGCCCCTTCTGATTTGAGGCTCAGAGGCCTGATAACACTAAGGAGCCATCCGTCCATCTGTCCATCCCCTGCCTCCTCCTTGGGGCTCACCAAACCTGAGCTGCCTAGCCTCTTCCAGGAGCCTCCTGCGTGTGTGGGGGTCTCACACTCTCTCCCCTTCCTGTCCATATTTACCCTGAGCCCCACCTGGGGCTGGGCCTGGGCACCCAGAGATGGCCAAGCGACCCGGTGCCCAGTCTGGCCTGTGTGCCCCTCTTCTTCTGGAGGAAGTCAGGGAGATTGGAAGTGTGAGAGGGACTCAACGCCAAGGACATGATTCTTCGTTGCTAGCTTTTGAAGATAGAGGGGCCACATGGCAAGGAACTGTGTGAAACCTCCAGGAGCTGAGGGCAGCTCCCAGCTGACAGCCCAGGAGGGGAGACCTCAGTGCTGCAACCGCACGGAACCGAATCTGGACAACAACCTGAACGAGCAAGGAGGTGAATTCTTCACCCAGCCTCCAGCTGAGAGCCCCGTCAGGCCGAGCCATTGATTTCAGCCCAGTGAGACCCTTCTCAGAGAGCCCAGCTGAGCTGCCCAAACTTCTGGCCCACAGAGCCGTGGTTTAATAAATTTGTGTTGTTTTAAGCTGCTATGTTTGTAGTCATTTGTTACACAGCAATTGAAAATGAATACAGATTTTGCCCCACTGTGATGGAGGTGCCCCAGGGTGTGGGGTGGGCCAGCCACCAGCCCTGGCCTTCCCATGCAGTTTAGGAGGCTCAAGAGTCTGGGGCAGCTGGCATCATGCCCTCTTCCCAGGAGGGGCAGGAGGCCCCAGCCAGGCCTGGCCTTAGCTTCTGTTGTCGTTGTTTCTGTCCTCACCCCCATCCATGACCAGGGTGAGTGTGGGGCTGTCCCCCAGCCTTGGCCAGGCCCCCTGCCAGGCCCAGAACCCTCCCACCTGCATCTGGAGACTAGCCTAGGCCTTCTGCAGCTCCCTGCCCATTCTCATGTGCCTGGGACCCAGTGTCTTGTCCCTTCCCTGCCATCTTCTTATCCCCAGGCTGAGGACCACCCATACCAACAGACAGAGCTCAGTTTCTAGAACTGCAGAAGGAACAAGAAACTGAACGAGACCTGGAAAATTCAAAGCCTAATCTTTGGAGCTGATGGGGCAGCGGAGGAAGGAGAGGGAGGCCGTCATCACAGGCAGAGCCGGGGGCAGGCGGGCTGCAGCTGCTCCACACAGGCCTGAGCCTCATCTCCCTCCCTAATTTTCTCCCAGGGGAGAGAGTGGCTGCACCAGGTGGTCACTGCTGGGCCGGGCCGGACAGGGTAGGTCTGTGGACTGAGGCAGCGAGGGAGCTCCAGGCTGCCCTCTCCCCCAGGCTGAGGGCCATCCACCTGGGGTAGAGCTTGACTGCCCCTGGGGGGGCGTCATCAGGGACCAGGGTGCCCAGAATACAGCCAGCCTACAAAAAGCTGTGGGTACATCTGTGGTGGGACCCTGGTGGCCCCTGCTGGGTGATGCCGGCTGTCCTTGTGTCCCTCCCTTAGCCTGGGACCAGCCAAGGGACCTTCCTCAAGATGCCGTCCAAGGCACTGAGACAGGAACAACCCAGGGGCTGGCAGCCAGGCTGCCTTGGTCTTGGCCCTGGTGTGACTCGAGTAGTGGGTCTCCATTCAGAGAGCCCGGTGTTTCTGAAGCATCACCCAGGAGCTAAGCAGGGGCTAGAAGTGGGAGGGGCAGGAGGCGCAGGAGCTGGGCATGGAAGGGAAAGGTCAGTGAATGACAAGAAACCAGCTATTCTTCGTGAAGCCCTCGCCAGACACTGCGGAGGGCTTTCCTGCACCATCTCACAGGATTCTCACCTGACAGACACTGGGAGGTGGGTTTTCCCCATCAGTCAGATGTGAAAACTGAGGGGCCCACATCCATGCAGCTGGTAGAGGGTATAAGGGGATTTGAACCCAACTGGTCTGATTCCAGAGGAAGCTGAGAATGGTGGAGGGGGGACTACCCCCTTTGCTCTCTCCACTTGCTCCTACCCCAACAGTGCAGCCTCCCAGCCCCCCTCCTCTCAGCCCGTTCCTGGGGTGGCAGCCTCGTGGGGCTGTGCAAGTCGCAGCTCTTCTCTACCCAGCAGGCTGGCACCCGTGCTGCTGCATCCCGTCTGTCAGCAAGGTCCATGGAGGGGTGACCTGGCCCTGCATCAACAGCATCCTGTCCCCAGCCTCACCTGTCAGGTGATAGGCCGGGAGACTGTGCAGCCTGGAAGGGTGCACCTGGGGAGGCAAGGGCGGTCCTGGGAACTCCCCAGTACAGGGAACACTAGGTTCCTGTTCAAGGCAGACATTTCCTAGCTGCCCACCTGTTCTGGCTGGTGATGCTGCAACCAGATGGCCTAGCTTCTCCCAAGAGTACTGACTCAACCTCAGTTTCCCCATCAGTATCCTGAACTGGTAACACTTAACTATCGTGGCTGCTGGGAGAGTCAGGACGACGGCTAAGGTGATCATTGTTTTGCCCGCTGGACACATACGCTGTGCCAGGCACAAGCATGCTCTCAGTTGATCTTAGAACACTCATGAGGTGTTCTCATTTCCCATTTCATGAATGGGGAAGCAGGCCCAGAGGCTAGGTGATGTACCCTAAGGCGCACAGCAAGAGTAGAGCTCGATTTGAACGTGGGTGACTGACTCAAATTCCACACTGAGTTATGTCACTTCCCTTATGGAGACAAAAGTAGTTGTAAAACACTCTACAAATGAGAGGCACACTAATAACTAGTGGTCATTGATAAGTGCTATTAAACAATGTTAAGGGGCCGGCCTGGTGGTGCAGTGGTTAAGTTCACACGTTCCGCTTTGGCCCGGGGTTCGCTGGTTCAGATCCCGGGTGCAGACATGGCACCGCTTATCAAGCCATGCTGTGGCAGGCGTCCCACATACAAAGTAGAGGAAGATGGGCACGGATGTTAGTTCAGAGCCAGTCTTCCACAGCAAAAAAAAAGAGGAGGACCTGCAGCAGATGTTAGCTCAGGGCTAATCTTCCTTAAAAAAAAAATAAATAAAGCAGACAGGAGGAGAGGGCCCACCAGGCAAGACCCTACAGGCTTAGTTTGGAGCCCAGGGAAGGGTCCCTGTCGTGAGCACTGGGTGGTTGAGGCAAGAGGGCAGCAAGGGCCCAGGAGGCCTTTGTGTGCAGATGCAAAAACGCCCAGGCAGCCAGCTCACCCACCATCTTGAGCCTCCCATTCTGTATGTCATGGCCCCCAGGAGGACCTCAACCCAGAGAGACGACAGAGCCAGGGGCTGAGGGGTTAGCCCTGCTCCCCACTCACATCCTTCCCCACCTCATTCCCACTGCAGGACGTGTCACTGCACTGAATGGCATGGAGGCCTGCAGTCACCTCCTACAACAGACCCACCAAGTGGACAGCACCATGGGTGCTCAGAGACCCACTCTGAGGGTAAGGATCACACCAAATAAGCCCCCGCCCTCCTCGCCACCTCCCTCAGGCTGGGTGAGCTCTGACAGCAGAGACAGCTATAAGCACACACCAGTCACTACCCAAGGCCTGGCACCCTGCTCTCCCTGCATCAGCTCATTCATGCTCCCAAATGCCCCACGGGGGCCAACTGTAGATTCCCCTCCATGGATGGGAAACAGGCGGAGGCTCAGGGCCTTGCCCAAGGTCAGTCAATAAGCTGGGGGTTGAACCCAGGGGGTCTGCTGGAGGGTGGTTGGGAACAGGCATGATCCTTGGAGAGATGGGGTGGGACCCAGTGGGCTGCCCCACCCCTCATCCCCACAGGGTGACTCCTGATGGGCATCCTGAGCTGGGGCAGCCCCCACGAGCCAGGAGGTCTACATGCTGGTCTCCAGTAGAGCCCAGATTCAGGACGATGTGCCTAGGCTGCAGCTGGGCCAGAACACCACGGGTGAAGAGGTGGCTCCTCCTGTCCCCGCACCCCTAAACTCACTCTTTACCTGCCTCAGAATCCCCTTGGCCCCCACTGTCCCCAACCCTCCCCCCACCCCTGCTCTCCCGCCTCATTAGCACAGGATCTAAAGCCTCCAACTCTCTGTATATACAGAATTAAGAAGGAACTCTTCAGCCTGGGCCAAGGACTCACCTCTCCAGGTACCTGTCCATGGCCTCCTGACTCAGGGACTGAAGCCCAGGCCGTGGTCCAAGGGCTGGGGTGCTGGGAGGGAGCCAGGGCTGCCCTGGGCTCGAGGCGAGGGCTGCCTTGAGGCGGAGGGAGGGGAGAGTCGCAGGAGGGGACGGGACTTAAGAGGGCTGCTGAGGAGCCAGAGATTAGAAGTCAACAATAACGAGTTACAGTTTACGAAAGGTCTAGTGAGGGCTGACTCTTGGGGAGGCGCTACAAACTTCACAAACGGTTCGCCCATCTTAAAAAGAAGGAAAGTGGCCCTTGGCGAGGTGAACTGCCCCAAGCTGCCCAGTCAGCGCAAGAGCAAGGATTTGAACTCCAGCTGCTCTGTACCTAGAGCCTGCGCGGTTGACCACAGGTTTGATTCAGGGCCAAGGCAGCAGCATCTTCAGATTCCGCCCACTCTCAAGAATTTCTCACATTGCAGCCCTAACAGGCGCAGGGCTGTCTGGCCGCCAGGGCCATCCACCGGCTCGCCTCTCACTGGATGCCATGTACGCCTTCTGTGACACTGGCCGGCAATGACCCGGCCGCAGCTCTCCCTCTCCTGGGAGTGGTTAGGTGAAAGGAAAGCCGCCTTCCCTCGCTCAACTGCAATTTGGGGCGACGAAGGACGGTGCCCAGCGCCCAAGAAGGAAGGCCTAGGCTGTCAGCAGGGATGCCCCCGTAGGAGGGCAGCCAGCCAAGGAAATCAAGCGTACAGGCCACTCCGGAGCCTGCGTGGACATGGGCAAGAAACGGGCGGGCGCCGAGGGCCCCTGGGGGCAGGAGGCTCCCCTTTCCTCCTCCTGGAGAGCACAAGCACCAGCTCCGGCCACGCCCGCTGCTGCTTCCCAGGACGTTAGCCCGGCCCACTCCCTAACCGGAACAACTTCCCGGGGTGCTACAGGCCGTAAAGCCCCTCCGAACAGGATTAAGCAACCCTGACATCCAAGGCTGAGGCGGGGAAAGCGGGACAGCGCTCCGCTACGGTGGCCGGAGAGTCCAGAATTTAGAACCGCCTCACAATGGCCGCCAGGGAGCCCCGCAATCGTGTGTCAGAGCCCCCAGTATGGCAGCCCTGGTCTCACTGAGAGGCGACTGTTTTGCCACCCCGATGGCCCAGAAGAACATTCATTCACTCTCCCTGGGAGTGGGGATGCCCTACGCTCGCGAAGTGAGCCGCCGCCATCCCGCAAAGAAGGCTCGGCCTGCGCCGAGCCCTGATGCATCAGCACGGGGACCTCGCCTCTGCCACTCCCAAGATGGCGCCATCGCCTCCTGCGTCCCTCCGGTGCTTGGTGCCTGACCCTTTGCCCCCACCTCGACCACCGCGCCGACCGGCACCACCCCGCGCCACGCAGCCGAGATGGCGGCTGGACGCCCGACCACCGCATTAAAATGGCCACGGGTTAAAATGGCGGCCGCAGGGCGGGGCGGGCCCGCAGAGCGGGGTGGGGCGGGGCCGCTGGGCGCGGGGCAGGCTGGGGGCCGGCGCGCGGGCTGCCGGGAACGGGGCGGAGCGCGGCCGCGCCGGCGCGTCGAGGGGGAGAGGTAGTCGCCGCGATGGTGAGCGGGCGCGGGGGGAGGGGCGGCGGGCCGGGGCGGGCCGGGGGCGGCTGGCCGCGCGGGGGGGGCCCAGGCTCCGCGCTCACGCCGGCCCGCTGCCCCCAGGACGTGTTCCTCATGATCCGGCGCCACAAGACCACCATCTTCACGGACGCCAAGGAGTCGAGCACCGTGTTCGAGCTGAAGCGCATCGTCGAGGGCATCCTCAAGCGGCCGCCCGACGAGCAGCGGCTGTACAAGGTGCGGCCCCGCCGGGCCGGGCGAGCGGGGGCCGGGCCGGGGGCGGGCGCTGCCGGGAACCGCCGCCCCAGCCCCGGCCGTGGGCTCTGGGCGGCCGCGTCGCTGATGTAAACAGTGCCTCCCGGGCCTCCCCCGCGTGGGCCCGTCGTTCGGACTCGGGGAGGTGAGGCCCCAAGAGCGCTCGTTGCCCGGGGCTCTCGAGGAAGAATGGCTCCGAGGTCGCGCGCCCGGCCCCGCGCTCAGTGCCGAAGGCCAGCGTCGCATCTGAGCCCCACAACGATCCCACCCGCGACGTGCAGGCTGCTGGCAGCCTTGCTCTGCGGCTAAGGACACTGAGGCTCGGCGAGGTGGCCGCTTAGCTGGCCAAGGTCATTGGCAGAGCCAGAATTTGAACGCCAGTGCTCTTAATCCTCTGCAGGCCTATCAAAGTCACAATGGCCCCCAAGACGCTGCTTAATACAAAGAAATGGAGGGTGTCCAGATGAGTCAGGTCCCTCCAGTTCTTCACCCAACAACTGTTTACCCTTCAACATTCTGCTAATGCTCTAAGAGCTTGTCCCACCCCCACTTCCCCCCTACAAACCAACTGCAAGCATGGCTTGGGGTTTGGGGTTTCACTGGGGAATCCGGTGTGTGGGCCCCTGAGGCAAGTCTGGCGGGGTGATGTCCCTCACCAAAGTGCATTGATCTGATTCTGGCTGGAATCTGGCCTTTTGCTCCAGGCTGAGCCTCCACTCCCTTATTCTCAAGGGCCTTTTGTCCCTCCTGGGGCTTCCCTGATAAGGACCCTTCCTGCTGCATGTGCTCTTTCCACGTGCTGTACTCCGTGCTTTCTGTGACCCTGTCACTTGTTGAAACCTCCTGGCCACTGTATGAGTTGGGAATTGGAGTAATTCCCATTTTACAGATAGGAAACTTCACAGCAAAAAGATCAACCGCGTGGTCCAAGGTGGCAGAGCTGGGATTCAAACCAGGTCTGCCTGTGCCAGATTGGGTCACTGGCTCTTGAAATTAGATTCCCTGGAGTTTGGGGGGAAACAGATTCCAGAGCCTTACCCTGGGAGGTTCTGATTTGGAAAGTCTTGGGTGTAGCCCTGGAAACTGTGTTTGGTCTCCTCTAGGGTGGTCCTGGGCCGTACTTGGGGCTGTCTCGCTTCCCTCTTCTGACTTCCAGTGTAGTTGCTAACCAGAGAAGTCTCTGGGACTTGCCTCTCCTGGGGCCTCTCCCAAGACCCTGCCTGCCTCTCTTCTCAGGACGACCAGCTCCTGGACGACGGCAAGACACTGGGCGAGTGTGGCTTCACTAGTCAAACAGCACGGCCGCAGGCCCCAGCCACTGTGGGGCTGGCCTTCCGAGCAGGTGAGATGGCAGCCAGGCAGGGTGGAAACAGCCAAAGAAAGCGATTGTCAGCGAGCCTGCATTTCCTCCAAGTCTCCAGGACAATGACTTCCTAGTCCACAAAGTACAGGCAATGTGCTGTGACAGTGTATTTGTTTCTCCATAAAAAAGATGACAAGCAAACGAGACCCTTGTAGAAATTGAAGCCTATTCCATGAAGGAGTCAAAGATTCCTAGTCATGATACCAGCTTGCATTTACAGAGGGCTTATCGAGTCCCTGGCCCTGCACTCGGCATTTGACTTCTGTTGGTCCATCTCACCCTCTCGATAGCCCTGGGGAGTAAACACTGCTGTGCCCATTTTGGAGATGTGGACACTGAGGCTTGCTGGCAGTCACATGGGGTGATGCAGACTGCCAGGACCTTGCCTGAGCCGGGCATCATGCCAGGCACTATCTTTGCGGTAGATCACTTGATCCTGCAGCATCCCTGTGCAGGCCAGACTTGTACTATACCCTTTTTTTTTTTTTCTTTTTCTCCCCAAAGCCCCCCAGTACATAGTTCTGTATTCTTTGTTGTGGGTCCTTTTAGTTGTGGCATGTGGGACGGTGCCTCAGCGTGGTTTGATGAGCAGTGCTATGTCCGCTCCCAGGATTCGAACCAACGAAACACTGGGCCGCCTACAGCAGAGCGCACAGACTTAACCACTCGGCCACGGGGCCAGCCCTGTACTATGCCCTTTTTAAGGATGAGTAAACAGCTTGGGGAGGTCAGATCGCTTGGTGGGACTGTCAGATCCAGTATTCACATCCAGCCCTGCCTGCCCCAGAGCCAGTATGCTCATCAACCACATTCCCCCTGCCCAAAGTTTAGAAACTTGAGGGGTGGGAGTAGTTTACTTCCCTCCAGTGTACCTCCTTCCCCTAAGAAAAAGAGAGGAAATGTGGATTTTATTATTTGTCTCTGGAAATTTAAACAGGGGTTGTAGAGTGTTTCACAGCTTTGGACCCAGGGGCTCTGGGGATGGCTGGGTGAACTTGGGTGAAGTTACAAGGAATTATTTTTCTGGCTTCTTGTAAGAAAATGCAGCGAGGGCTGAGGAGGGAGCATATCGCCTCAGCCGCACTTTTCAGTGCCATAAGGAGAGCTATGCTAGGCCTCAGCAGCTGTGTCTTTGGACGGCTACTTCATGCTCCTGCCCCTCCCAGGCTGGAGTTCCTATCCTTATAAAGGGGTATGATCCTAGGACCAGCCCCACATGAGGCAGTGTGAGCCCCCATGCACCTCAGGCCCCCAGCCTGTGAGTGCTCAGCAAACGGAAATCTTAGGGGCCTTTATGTGGTTCCTTCTGACCCTCACAGTGACACTGTGGCAGGGGCAGGGCTGGCACAGACTTTGTAGAGGTCAGGCCCTGTAGAGAGAGGCCCTTCTGAGGGGAGCAGGTGAGGGCTGAAAGCTCTTCTCCTGTTCGGCTTCCTAAGCCAAGGTCAGGCTGCATTCTCCCAGAGGAAGTGTCCCGTTCTCTGATTGGAACAAAGGCACCATCTAGGCTTGCAGTGACTCTTGGAAGATGTTGCTAGATCTGTTTTGCAGGTGAAGAAATCATGACACAGGGAAGTGATTTGCTTTTTCCCCCTGACCCGCAGTATGGCATTGAATGAGGTAGTGGCTCTGGCGCTCAGTGGCATCACCCCTCAGGTGGACAATTGCTGTCTTGACAGGGCCTCTTCACTTCCCCCAGGGGCTACTTTCACTCGCAGAAATGCACTTCTGAATGCCTGTTTCCCAAGTAGTAGTTTCCTGGTGCAGCTGGAAGAGGCGTGAGACGCAGCTGTCTCTCCCCAGCCCCAAACTGGCTTCAGTTAGGTTAGGGAGATGACACTGTCAAATCAGGCCTTAAATGGCATCATCCAAACTTTATTTCCAAAGAATAGGAGAAGTGATGAAGGCAGGAATTGTCACTGCAGGTTTGTGTTTTGGAAGATGAGTTAGTTCTTGGTGTCTGAACATCATTCAGCACTACTGATATTTGGGGCTGCATGATTCTGGGTGGGGTTGTCTTATGCAGGATGTTTAGCAGCATCTCTGGCCACTACCAGAGATGGCCGTCTACCCACTGATGCTGGTTGCAGCCCCCCACAGCCACCCCCAAGGTGACAACCAAAACTGTCACCAGGCATGGCCAACTTTCCCTGGGGGCCCTAATCGGTTGAGAACCCTGAGCCAGGTGGAGAGAATAGTCTCCCAGGTAGAAGAAAGCACAGAAGAAAAGTTGTAAAGTGGGGTTCGTTTGCTCTGTGCTGAGGTGACAAGGCAGGCCTTCCTGGAGCTGCTGTTCTAGTGGGGAAAGCAGCGGATCAAAGCAGCAAAGGGCCCCTTGGGCTGGTGGTCAGTGCTTCCAAGGCAGTGGACAGGGCTCTGGGATGCACTGATTGTGTATATGGTATGGCTGGGGAAGGCTTCTCAGAGGTAATGTTTGAATTGAATCCTGAATGCCATTCTGAGTGGCAGGCTAGGGACCAGGAAGTACAAAGGCCCTGAGGCAGGAAAGAGCTTGATGTGGTAACCTGGGGAGCACAGGAGACAGGTGGAGAGACATAGTAGCAAGGACTTGAGATTTTATTCAGAGTGTGATGGGAAGCTATTAGGTTTTAAGCAGGGGAGGAGCAGAATCTGGTTTGACTTTGAAAATCACTGCTTGGTACAAGGAGATAGACAAGATTCTGAGTGAGGGGTGATGGTGGCTGTGGAGCCAGTGACAAGCAGGTGGATGCAGGTCAGCCCACAGGCTCACTGATGGATGCAGAGGGTGAGAAAAAGGGCCTCACGAATGGCTAGCCTCGGGGTGGGAAGTGGGGTCAGGTTGGGCTTGGAGGAGTGGGAGACATTCCAGCAGGGCCATTGAGACCAGGCAGGGAGACCAGGTATGGAGGTCAGAGCAGTGGAGACTCACTTCACAGGGGCAGGTATCTGCTTGGAGGTCCCCAGAAGCTAAAGGTGGGTACCCATTCCAGCTCTCCCCACTCCCCTCTCCACCAGATGAAGCGTTCGAGGCCCTGCGCATCGAGCCCTTCTCCAGCCCACCCGAGCTGCCCGACGTGATGAAGCCGCAAGACTCAGGAAGCAGCGCCAATGAACAAGCCGTGCAGTGAGAGGGCCCTTGGGCCCATCCCCCAATGCCCCATCCTCCCCAATAAAAGAATTGGGTGTCCACCTGGCTGCTGCCTCTCTCTGTGCACCCTCTCCTGCCTCCAGGCATCATCCTCACTGGGATGGGGCCTGCTCCCCTGCGGGGCTCCTCCTCAATCTCTTGCTTGCCAGGGTGCCCTGCCCAATTACAGGCTCTCTGGGCCCAGCTGTCTACCCCCAGCCCAGCCCTCAAAGGCCATGGGGAGAGGACTGGGAGGAATCCAGAACCTGGGTCAGCCTTCTACTCAGAGTGCCCCCCCCCCCCTTCCAGGAGGCCAGGAGTGAAAGTGTAAGCTGGAGCCAGTGTGTTGGTTTGAGAGCAGGTTCTGTGGGGGACCCACAACCCAGAGCCACCCCACACAGGTCCTCCAAGGCCTGCACAGTGCACTCCTTGGGGGATGCAGCCAGCATAGAAGAGCAGCTCCTCCCCCAACCCCTAATGAACAGTCTCCAGACTCAATTCCTGCATTTCTCATTTTTATTTGACAGAAAAAGTTGCTCTTGCTGTACAGATTTTAAAAAACCAAAATGCCTTTAAGAAACGTGAAGAAAAGTTGGGGGGAGGGGGCCACAACCTCACTGGGGGGCAGTAGGGGCCAACTAATTTCAACTCCTGCCCCTTCCTTCCAAAACACCTCACCCAAGTCCCAAACCATCATCCCCCCCAGGAATTCGGGGATAAAAAGGGGACAACGTCTCCCAGGCCCTTTCTGACTCAAGACGGGGGCATCCTGAAGTATCCTCCCCTCCCAAAACTCCCATTCTCATACCCACCCACCCCAAACCCCCCAAAACATGTGAACCAGGAAAAACTCACAGAGATTAACATTTCACAGGAACAAAGAAAAAAACGAGGGGGGAGGGAGTCTTCCCCCAAAGATGCTGCCAGGGTTGGGGTGGGGGGGGCACACAAGGACCCCCTCCTACGCCTGTTGGGGAAAAAAGGAGCACTCCCTGTGGCTCCAGAACTGGGGGTATGGTGGAATTCCCCAAAAAAGATTCACGGAGACCTGCAACAGAGAAGATGGCAATCAATGCACAGGCCCAGCCAGCCCTGGAGCTCTCAGGAGACCCAGGCATGGAGTGAGGACGACACTCACCTGGAGGAGCGGTGCCGCACGGGGCGGGGGCTAGGTGTCTCCCTCCTGCGCTTGTGGCCTGGGGAGCGGCTATCCCCACGCTGGCCTCTCCGGGAACCCCGCTCACTGCTGCTGCAACACGGGACATACATTAGATGACACAGAACACCACCAACCTCTGGCACCTTTGAGCCTGAAAAGTTTTCCTAATAAATCAGTGGTGAGCTAACTGGACTGGCTATTGGCAAGAGGAAAGCAACACCCACTGCCCTACCTCTGCTGGTCCCGTGGTGAGGGCTGGGGCGAGGTGCGGCGGCGCTCTGCAGGCGAGTAGCTGAGGGACCGGGAGTCCCGGAGGGAGTCTATTGGCTTCCGGGGGCTGCGGGACCTGGGGAGCAGAGTAGGCCCCCATAGCGCCACACCCTTCCAAACCCACCAGCCAGCACTCAGGACCACCCGCCCAGGTCCTGACCACCAAACCTCATACCACACGGGGCCAGCCTCAGACCCACCTTTGTCTGCTCACTCACCCATCCGCCCGCACATCATCCACCGAGTGCCCCAGTGGGCAGGGCACGGGGTGCAGCGGGGGACGCAAAGATAAAGACAGTCCCTGCCCTTGGAGGGACTCAGTCTGGTGGTGAAGGAAGGCCAAGGGAGGCTCACTTGGCCCCATGTGTGGGAAGCAGCCCCGCAGGGACTGATGTACATGGGTCTCGGGACCCAGGGGAAGGGGACATGGGGCAAGGAAGGGAAGGGGCAGGGTAGTCTTCTCGAAGGTGCTGTTTGAGCGGAGTCTTGCAGAACGAGGAGTTCACCAGGCGGACAAGGGAATTCCAGGCAGAAGGAACAGCATGTCCAAAGGCATGGGGTTCTCCTTAGACTGCAAGGCGCTGGGTGTGGCTGGAGCACAGGGCATGTGTGGGGGCGGGCAGGAGAGGAGAACACAGGGCAGGCAAGGCCAGTTGGTGAAGAGCCTCACACGCCATTCCCGCAGAGGTGGGGCTTTATCCTGCAGGCCACAGGGCGTCCCGGAAGGATTTGTGGAGTGGAGGGAAGTAACCAGATGTACGTTTTAGAAAGATCCCTCTGGCTACGTGTGGAAGAGAATGGCGTGGAGGCAGGGAGACAGGGAAGAGGCTGTGGACAGAGTCGGGAGAAGATGACGGTGGCCAGACCAGAGCCCTGGCAGTAGCAACGGGGAAACTTAAAAGCTAGACTCCCTGGGACCAGGCTGCATGTCAGGGCAGGGAGAGGAAAGAACCTAGGACTCCCTAGTTCTGGCTTGAGCACCCAAATGGATGGTGCAGCCCTTTACCAGAACAGGGCACCAGAGTAGGTGGGGAGAGGAGCACCCAACTGCTCCCATACAACCAGACACCACAGTCCATGTGAAACACCCCAGCAGGGATCTCACACCCCAGGGTCACACCCCACCCCTTCCATCTCAAGCAAGGCAGCACTCACCTCTGCTCGCCAGGGGGTGGCTTCTTGGGGCTTGCAGGTTTGGGCAAGGCCTGAGGGCCAGGCTTAGCAGGGGAGGGGGATGAGGAAGTAGAAGAGGAAGAGGAGGAGGAGGAGGAAGAAGAGGAAGAGGAGGACGAGGAAGAGGAGGACGAGGAAGAGGAGGACGAGGAGGAAGAGGAGGAGCTGGAACTGGAGCTGCTAGAGCGTCTCTTCCGTTTGGCTGGGGTAGGCTCCTGAGGACGTCCCTCTCGAACAGCCTCCTTTGGGGCTGGAGCAGGGCTGGGGACCCTGTGGGAGAAGAGGAGTGTCACGAGGAGACAAGGTGCCCCAGCCCCAACCCTACCTTCCTTGGCCTGGAGGAACGGCAGTGGGGTAGGGGTGTCTGAGAAAGGCCCTGGGAGCTCTCCAAGCCGAGAGCCAGTGAGTGCATTCTCTGGAGAGCAGTGGGCCCGAGCTGACCCAACCTCTGCTAACACAAGCAACAGGCTGGGGCCCGCAGCACAAGGGATCAAGGCTAAACCTCAAGAATGTCCCTGATGGAGGAATAAGGCCCCTGGGCTCAGGTGCTGGGTGGTCTCCTTCCTCGGAGAGCCACAGCTTGGGGAGGCCCCTGTGTGTGCAGGTTGGCTGGGGGAGGGGCCGTCCTGCCTGGAGGCAGGGAGAGGGATGGGATGACCTCTGAAGATCCTTCCAGCCCAGGGAGTTCCTCTTGAGGTCTAACTGCCATCCCTCCTGCTGTAAAATTAAGTCCATTTCCTCTAGTTCTGTCCTCTGTAGAGACGGAAAACTTATCATTATCCTCTAGAGAATTAACCTTTGGAGACTTTTATCTGTCCCATTCCTCCCCCCTTTGCCCCCACCCCAGCATTTTCTTCTACCCCCAGCTTAACGGTCAAGGTCCCCATACCTCTTCAAAGAGCCAAGAACCTTTGGATAGGGCTTCTCCCTCCCCACTCCCCACCCATCCCCAAACCTTCCCCGTAGAAGAGTTCTAAAAATCAAGCCCTCTCACCTCTTCAGTGCTACCTCAGGTTGAGTGGGAAGGCTAGAGCCCTCCGAGTCGCTAGAACTTGAGCCAGAGGAGGAGGAAGAGGATGACGACGACGATGATGATGAAGAGGAGGAGCTGGAGGACGAGGAGGAGGAGGAACTCCGCCGCTCCTTTGCCGGCTGCAGGGCGGCCAATGCAGAAGGCTGCTGGGCCCCCGTAGAGGCAGGTGGTTCCCCATCCTCAGGGTGGGACACCCCAGGGACAGGGCCAGAGAGTATGCTGTTGTGGTCACCAGCAGAAGATGTGGTCTTTGCCACTACCCCAGAGGAAAGGGACTGAGACCCTGCTACAGGGGTGGTCTGGGCAAGCACAGATCGGGATTGGTCAGAAAAAGTAGATGGCACAGGGGACCTAGGTCGATCCTGAGCTGGAGGAAGAACAGACTGCGAGGAAGCCTGGACCATTCTAGAGGCAGGAGAGGGAGCCCGCTCAGAAGTCATTCTAGATTGGCTCGGGGCAGATGGTGGGGTTCTAGAGCCTGGGCCACCTGGTGGGGTTCTGGACCTGGCTCTGTCAAGAAGCGGTGGTGAGGTTCTGCCACTAACACGCTCGTAGGCAGAAAGGGGCACCCTGGGGCTGGTGAGGTTTGCACCAGACAAGGCTGGAGCCATTCTAGCACTGGTGAGGCTTGCAGGGGCCAAAGCTGGAGGGGTTCTCGAGCTGGCAATATTCACAGGAGCTGTGGCATGTGCAGATCTAGGACCCACCAGGTTTGCAGGGGCTGGAGCCTGGGGTGTTCTGGAACTGGAGGGATAGTTTCCAGGAGTTGGGGGTGTGCCAGAGCCCGTAAGACTCAAAGCTGCCAAAGCAGCTGGGGTTCTGGCTCCTGCCAGGTTCACAGCTGGGGCCGTGGGGGTGCGAGGGTCAGCAAGGTTCACAGCTGAAGGTGCCACTGCTGTTCTGGGACTAGCCAAGTTCATGGCTGCTGCTGCAGCTGGTGCTCTCGAGTCAGCCAGGTTCACTGCTGTTGGCATGGCAGGTGTCCTGGCACCAGCCAGGTTCATGGCCGCTGCAGAGGCTGCAGGAATCCTGCTGGCAAGGCTAGCAGCTGGCGCTGTTCTGAGACTCATGAGAGGCACTGGAGCTGGAACCTGGGACATTCTTGCAGCAAGGCCAGCAGCAGACATAGATGGAGGAGGCCGAGCGGTGCCGAGACTGATAGCTGTCAGGGCAAGTGCGATTCTAGACTGAGCATGATTTTCTGGTACAGATGTTCTCGGGTGATCAGGAATTCGGGGACCTGGACCATCCATCATGGAGCCACCAGCTTGCTGCAGGACAGACATAGGTGTTCTAGAGCTGCCAAGGGGTTCAAGCATTCCAGGTGATCTACAGCGGTCGAGAGGAGTTGGTGACATGCTAGGACGACTGAAGCAGCTCATTCTGGAGCTATTGAGTGCTACTGGAGGTGTGCGAGAACCAGAATGATTC